GGAAGCAGACTGGGAGGCAATCTTGGCTATCAACGTGGGTGCCTTCTTCTCGTCGATGCATTTTTCCAAAAATACTTCTGTAGCCTGCGCCATGATTACTCCCACCAGAAACTTGATCACCTCCCGGCTGAGGTCAGTCGAGGGGGCATGCAAGAAATTCTCGTTAATATATGTGAGCATGCCTGCGCATGTCTTGAAGTAGTAAAAGGCTAGTTTGAGCCCCTCTGGATCGGACCTGTTCTGAGAAGCGGCAATGGCGGAATGCGTAGCTGCGATCTGGAATAGAACAGAGGCCTTCTCATACGCAATAGCTGTCTGCGTAGTCAGCTTGTTCGTGAAAGCATCATTCCACGGGAAGTTGACTCGTATCTCTGGGAAGCGCATCTCTAAGATCTCGAGTTGCCCAAAGTACTTGTAGAGCAGATCACGACCTGGGAAGTAAAGTTGTGAATGCCCCACGATCGTGATTGCTTGAGCGACGAACCTGTCATATCGCTGCCTGCTCCCTTTACAGCGTCTTGCCTGCAGCGTTGCAGCGCTTGGCACTCCTGTGCATAATTGTCTGGGTTCTCGCCGAAAGACTTGGCAATGAGATTGCGTATGGGAGCTGTCCAATCGACGTCCCCCGTCGTCTTCTTGGGGATCGCTATCATGGGCGACTGGTGCGCCATGTCTGAGAACTAATATACCTTGGAGTGTTCCTAGATGTACACTCAGAGCCTGCAGAGTCTATACAAGGGCGGATTGTGTTAGGCTATGATTCCATGAAACTGCGCATATGGCTCGCTCCTTCGGAATGCGGCATGCAATAATGGATTTTCGACCCCCACGAGAGGGGTTGTGTCTTTGCCGTTTCCGTCCGCTGTGGCAACCAGAGCTCGGGACCGTCATCTCATACCAAAGCCATGTCGTCTGAAAAAGCGTCATCAAGCGAAAACATTGTTAGCCAGAAGGTGTGTTTTTATAGTCAAACACAATGTTCGAAGCTAATGGTCTTTCAAGTATGACAGGTGTCGTATGTGCTTTTATTGTTCTGGGTTGGAAGAGTCGACTGACTGCGTCCGCAAGTGGCCGATCTCTTGGTGAAGGCGTGAGTCTTGCTTTGCATTTGCAGTTGGTATGAATATCTGAAATTTGTGCAGCGGTGTAGGCTTCAGCGTTGGAGTCGTTGCATCCGTCATTCTTTTCCGAAGTTTGTGTCTTGCTCTATTTTCTCCGCATATTTTAACCTTATACGTTACAGGACGAACATGGCCCATTGCTCTTTCAACAGGCTTCGGTATAGGTGCAGCGTACGCAGACTGCGATCGCTCATTCAACCCCGCACGCATCTCGGGAACACGCATAATATCTCAGACAGACGAGAGCAAATGATATCGCTTGACATATCACTCGATAGTATTGCGGAGAGCACTACACAGAGCCAACAGTATGATCGTGAGCCTCGAGGACTTGGCATTATTTTACATAGAGCGCCTTCGCACACCCTTCCACCTTCCATAGTTCACAACGCAAATGTTCATTCCCCTTTTGACCAGCGTTCACTCCCGGCATGCGAGCTTTCGGGCAGTAATTCATTGGTTGTAGAAAGAGGTTGTGGTGCCTCCCTAGGCAGTGTTCTTCGAGGTTTTCCGAGCATGAGACGCTCGTAGAGTACGTCTGCAGACAATTGAAGGTAATATGAGTGACCGGAATGAAGTTTGAAACATCGAATAATGACGAACATGCTGTTGCTGCCATGATGGGAACCGTGACGATGATGGTGCGGAGCCTGCGAGCTTGAGGAGGTAGCTTCTGTGCCATTGCGCAACTCTTTAGATTGCAGCACACTTAGTACCGATTCATGGTAGTTGTGAAGCCTGTCCAGACTCCAGAAAGAAATGTTATCCCCAAAAAGGCTTATACGTCACGTTACTGTGAGTTCTGAGCGTAAATGGCAAATTCAAAATTCAATATTCAAGATTCAAACCCAGAATTACCAGTCCGTCGATCAACAGCTCGCCTCATACGGGCTAGTCGCCAGTCTAATCAAGGGTCTACCCCCTCAATAAACTCCAAATCTGTAGGTCCCCGCTACAGAGTATTTTAAACTCACACTGCGTTTTTAGGACCACTCACACCACGACATAATCTTACCCTGGGTCGCGGCTCCGTCGTCCACCCCTGTTCAATACTACATAGTACCCCTCCTGCACTTTACGGATCCCCCGTATAGACCACGTTCGCATACTTACGTGTTTCTATACTAGGCACTAGAAGTTGGACGAAGTTTACATCATGAGCCGAATCTCTGGGTCTGACAGGTTTGACACTGGCACTTACCGCAGGGACAGCGGTGCCTCCTTATCTTTCAATATCAATGTACGACGGACAACTGGCTTCCAATGCAAATACCATCTTTTCAAGCTTGCACATAAAATTTGCCACGGGGGGCTCATCCGTAGATTTCGAACGAGCTACGCACGGCAAAGGTATAGTCGTCGTGGTTGACGGCTATCGATGAAACCGATTATTCATTCCCTGCATGTGTATTCGGGACACGACCCATCAGAGTCTTTGCTAACGATTATGCTGATTGCAGTGCTTTGTATGGTCATGCAACGATTTTTTTCCCTTATATATTACGATATATCGCAGTTGAGTTGTCTTTGAATAATTCTCGCTTTCTTAGACGCCATCTTAACCATGCCTGCAGGTAAAATCTCGGTGAACGTTTCTCAGGGAATTGCGACGATAACCTTGAATGAACCTCGCCATCTGAATGCGCTAACACTAGAAGGTTTGTGGTGTGCTCAAGCAAACTACGTTGACTGAGTAACTTTCAGACTATGACGCATTTGCCAACTCTTTACGGGCCATCGATAAAAGAGAAGATGTTGTAGCAACTGTATGGCAAGGCAAGCAAATTTTCAGGAATTTCTTAGATCAACTTATCTTTGCACAGCAAATGGGAAGTGGTTCTGTGCGTAAGTCCACAGAGCAAGCGTTTCGTTGCTTCTAGTGCTTACTGTTCCGGAAAGTGGCTCGGACCTGACGCAGACGATGGCAACGACAGGCAGGAACCGTGACGTTCCGAACACTCTGACTCAATACTCGATGAGGGATTACCTCGTCCATGAGGTAGTGGCTGCTAACACGGATTGCACACACGCCGTACGTTACAATCCTTACTTTTCCATAGTGTCGCCGACCGATTATTCCTATCATGAAAGATCTATAGTCACAGCAAAATTCTTGTTGCAGCACTGAATGGGCCGGTGATAGGTATGCAACTTCCTTAATATCTCGCAACCGGGTTGAGTGACGACCTCGAGGTTAGGTTTAACAGCTGGTGCGTTCACTATAAATTCTATGCGCGCCATCTCTGATCGGTCTTCGTAGCTTTCCTTGGTAACTTTGATTTCATATATGCCGTGCCAGAGGCCTGGTTGAATGTTGGCTTGTCATTGCTGGGTATGCGCGTTTGATTGTTTCCTTCGATACACGCTGGAGACTCACCCTCCCAGGCATTGCAACGGAAGGAGGGGCTAGTGTTTCATTTGTCAACCGCAGTAAGCGAATTCATTGCCATATGACCTTTTCTCATGATATTGTCAAGTGGGAATCGCCAAGGCAAACGAGGTTCTTATTCTTAACAAGAAGATTAGTGCATCAGAGATGCTTGAATGCGGATTTGTCAAGTACGCGTTCCCACATCCGACCTTTCCTCCCCCATCCTGATAATGATTTAGCAAGATTTTTCCATCGAAATCAACAGAAGAATTCCACTCTGCGGTTCACCAACACCTCAAGAAGGAACTCGATGGTTTAGTTCCCGCCTCTATCTTTGCCATCAAAACCCTCATCAAAGCTGGGTTGAACGAGAAAAACGACTTCCACGCCGTGAATCTGCGAGAAAGTTATGCTCAAGCGGAGAGATTTAGCAGTGGAATACCTGCTGAGCGCTTCAGCAAGATTGCCAAGAAAGAAATCAAGCATAAATTGTGATCTATGTATGTATGTTTGCCCTTATCATGTTACCGACCAGCGCACCTGACTGACCAGTGACCAGATGTATACCTGGCTTTTCTAGTCGTTTACCCCTTTCCAACGAGAATATGGTGATTTGTACGCAAGAAGATCCCGAGAAGATGTAATATATTTGCATGATTTTTTTCTTCAAGATTTTTGCAGCGATTGTGATTCCCGCCCTCGAAACTATCATGCTATCATGACCAGCAGCCGCCTGAGTGGGTCTGCTACTAAGCGCGTAGACCAGAAGTTTTACCACAATTCTTGGCCTTTCTTGGATTCTGGAGCACGTTAACCATTGCGGTGTTTACACACATCTGCATGGCGAGTTACAGCATAGAACCTAAGGGAAATGATTCCCAAAGCTATCAAGCTCAAGTCAACATTTGTTCGTATCTTTGTGTTCTATATCAAGTGCGTATTTGCGATTAGTCTTGTCGTGCGGGGCATCAGCGCTTCAGCACTCCGGTCAGAATACAACCGTAATGGTACTTTCAATCTATCCACTTTCTAACAACTGTTATTGGTCACCAATGGCTCGCATGCGGGGGCGGCACTGGCAGCATCACCCTTCGTTGTTGAAACGTTGATGGGTCATTAAAATTTCGTGTCTCCTGATTCATAGAACCAACCTTCTCATTCCGGTCGGGCTCAACCATGTCATCAATGTGATCATTCTCTTCTTTAACATCAGTGCTGCCAATAGTGATATATATATATATATCGCATCCTGGACACTCTACGGTCCCGCGATGGTCCATAGAACGAAAGGCGCCGCATATATTCGAAATGAAATAAAGATGCTGGGGGTGTCTCCCCCCTTCAGTTTAATCTATTTGATTTTATTCAATATTCGTTCCAAAATGGACCATTGTCCACGAGGAGATCTCCGGGGTCCTCGTCGATTTGTGTCTCCAGAAGTCCCTGGACATACTAACCCTCTTCTCGTCAATACCGCACCCATTTGGCGCTTTTCTACGTGAGGCACCATGGCTTATGTCGCTGTCGACGCAGACGATGTGAGTAGCATCTACTATTATAAGATTTCTCACCGTGTTAATGGTCCATAGCGACTAGAAGAAGGACCAGAGGGTCTCGAGTTCAAATGTGAGCACGTTTGTCTCGAAGTGCGTAAACAGATATTCAACCTAAGCAGCTTTCCTTGGAACAGACGCGAGAGCAGAGCAACGAACACAGTCCGGTGCTTCAAACCTTGACCGAGGTACGTCGAAAATTCTGCCGCATCTTCTCCCCTGACGCGTATCCAGGATATCTTACAGATCACACCACGCACAAAGGCCCATCTGGGTTCTGGACAGTCGATTACTATCAACCATACTTTGACGTTGATACTTCGACTGTCTTGAAACGATGCTATACGACGCTCCTCCCCACTTCACCTTCCTACCTGACAATTCTTACACCCAGCGCTGACCTATACGGCCCTTTCTGGATCCCAACCACGCTTATACTGGCGTTATTTCTGTCTTCGTCACTTGCAGCAAGCATCTCGTCTTACCTTTCTGACCCGGGAGCTGCGTATGAGTATGACTTTGGCCTACTTAGTCTGGCAGCAACGATCGTGTATATATACACGTTTGCAGTACCTGTTCTCCTGTGGCTCGCGCTACGCTACTTTGGCGTTGGTGAATGGGGCGTAGCGGAAGCACTTGGTGTTTGGGGTTATTCGTTATTCGTTTGGATACCGGTTTCGGTAAGGACACAACTTAGGTGCACCGTTTTTGAGTAACCGTTGTCCTGCAGATACTATGCGTCATACCCATCTCTATTTTACGTTGGGTTCTAGTGGGACTTGCGTTCTGCTTATCAGGGTACTTCCTGGTAGCGAACGTGTACCCAATATTGGCGATGGTATGGTCATATCCCTCGCCTGATTTAGTTTTGTTGAGATTGTTGACAACTCTCTTAGGCCGATGCAAAAGCTACTCGCTTACTGATAATTGTAGTCGGCGTGCTGCATGCAGCGTTAGCGTTGACATTCAAGGTGTTGTTCTTCAGCTACTACGTCGTGCACGATATTGGGCCTGGAGCAGACCCCATACGGAGATTCATATAAAGTGCAGTTGCGCTGGTCTTTGATTAGTTTCGTTGCAATGCATAATCTTTTTCACCAATTTCGTGAAATGACAAAGAGCGGACTACATCGCAACGACCGTCACCGTCTGGTATTTGATATATATTCAATGCTAATACACGTCAATGAAAGATTTACATACACCAGACCTACAAACTTTGGAGTCGTTCGTTGGGTTTACAATGCCAGATTGTCAAACTTGCCCCATCCACATTTTTCCATGTTCCACGAGTACTAGCAGCGAATTTTGACGACTTCACCTCAAGCGATGGGAAAGAGTTTGAGTTTCCGGGGCATCAACATACATCATCCAATATACAAGAGCATGTACTAGCAGCAAGTCATGAACGCAACGTAATGTCGTCAGTGGTAAGATGTGGGGAATAATGATGACATGATCCAACGTCTTTTGAGAGATCTTAAACCGAAGCAGTGCGATGACGTGCTGCTGCTTCCTGCGCTGCTTCCGCCCAATCCCTCTCGCGCACACCGAATTCAACTGCCAGTACGGTCTTGTTGAAGTGTGTGAAAGTCAGTCCATAGGGTTCGCGAACACGTGACTCCCAGCCTTCTGGAATACGCTCGTGAAGAACAATGCTACGCAGGTCCTCTACACGGCCTCCAAATATTGTGAGTAGTGTTGACGAACTGTTGCAAAACGTTTAGCGTGCTTGTAAACGAATTACGTAATGACACATACTTGGCGCTACCGAAGACCTTGTGGAAGAAGCTGAGCGAGAACTCGTTGTTTGTTGCACGCGCTACTGCGCGACGCTTGCCGAGAATGCTCGAGAGGTCTTTGGTGGTAAGGACTTCGTTGCCATACTGGTCCTTGCCGGTATTTGCCGCAAGCAACTCCTCGATGAAGGGTATGTGTTTCGTCGATTGGTTTGGTTCAAGGGCAGTGTCAAGACCTGAAGATAATTTATTCAATATGCAAGAGCCAGACAAGTATGGGAGATTACTCACGGAAAAGAGATGCGTCATGTTCGATACCGTTATGCAGGTCGAGTTCTTCCAAGTCAAAGGTATCATTACTGTAGCTTTTCTTGAGCATGCGAGCGGCGAAATGAGGCACATAAGAGCAGAAGGAAGGACCGAAGTTGTAAGTTGTCCGGATCTGGTGGTTAAGTTCGACAAATGAGATGTTGCGTCCGCTGCGTGGGATGATGCCTGCGTTTCAATGTAAGAGATCTATGAGCCTTATTGTGTGGGGAATCGAGACTAACCGTGATTGGCCATCGCATTGAGTGCTGGGCATGAGCAGCGGGAGTCACCTTCCTGAGCAGGCTTAAACTCGGGCCAGTGCCCTCCATAACCTGGGTGGCCCTCGGGCGTGACGTGCCCGATGCGGCGCTTCCTCCTCACGAGATTGGAGAGTGTAAGGAGCACATCCCAAGACATGACCCCAGCATCGAAGAAAAAGTTAGACACGTTGGAGAAGACACCCATTTTGCTGCAAGGACGTGGATCTGAGGTTGAGGGACTTCTTTGCTAGCGGCATGGTGCCCAAGCATCACGATGGCTTTATAGGATGGTCTGAGAAGGTTACGTATAACTGGAATTTAGTAGATGGTACCTCAAGTTCAAGGTGAACTCTGTCTATTATTTTCCTTTTACCGACCCGGAGTGTAATATTAACGCAACATGTGGTTTGAGGGTTACTCTGATCGGCCTCGAGGCTCGTGATGGAAGAAATCCAAACGCCTGATGGGTCTGGTATAGCACCGCATCTGGCAGTTGCTGACCCCTGACCAATATTAATTATTTAAATAATTTCTGCGGGACGGGTATTCGGCCGCCGATTTACAACCATCCATGGCGAATCGGCTCCCAACAATTGCCCTTCCGATATTAATTTCGGTTCCTCAAAGCTCCCGAAAACCTGTAACCAACTTTGAATTTTTGTAAGACCTCGAGAACTTCTTGACCAGCACCAAGTTGTCAATATTTGCTCACGTGAACGGCAACGACGATTCAAGCTCAAGGTCGCCACCCTCAACTCGGGTTGTTCATTGCCTATCTCTTTAATGCTACCCGGTGCCATCCGCGCTCAAATCTAACTCAATTTCCTCAGTGCATGTACATGCCTCGTCCATTATTTCGCTGCCTTCGGCCTTCTCCGGTGATTGACGCTTTTGGTGCCCACCTCTTATGGTCACCATCATCCTTCAACTCCGCCCCGCCTTCCCTTCGCCAAACTCACTCTATGTTATACCGCCGATAACACTGACCAGTCACTTTGTCACTGAGTTGTTCAATATCGATGGGTATCCTGCCTTAACCTTATACACGAGCGGAAAATACCTTGCCAAGCGGTGTTGGAGGTCTGCCTGTACATTCCGACGTAAGTAGATCGAGATTTTCCGGGAAACACAAGCCCCTGAAGGCATCAAGTGGCAAAGACCCTAAAGTTAAACGTTAAACGTTTAGGCCCCGCCCTCGCTCTGTATGTTCTACCACGTTCGCATCACTCTTTTCAAGCATATGGCCAAGCTAGCTGCTTCGCATGTCCCCAACCCCTCCGCGCATCTACAGCCTACGGACATCAGAATGGCTGTGTGCCTGCTGTCACAATCCAAAAGGCACTAGGGTTTGAGGGCACCTCTGAAATGGCCGGTCTGGGCCAAATTTAATATCTAAGGTATGACACGGGTAAGGCCTGCCTGGGTTATACCCGCACCCGTCCCGTGGGTACTGAAGTTTTCAGACACCTACTCGGACCCACCCGGGTCAGAGCATCACGGGTGCGGTCAACCCGCATGTGGTACGGATCACCCGCGGGTGGCCAAGTGTATAGTGCGCGGCTACAATAGTGAGTACACGAGTACACATTATTTTCGTCTTTGTTGTAACGAAGATATCTTGGTGGTTATTACCAGGCAGGGAGCGGATAAAGAACTGGCAGGCACCAAAGAAAATGGGCAGTGGGCGGCGGTGGGCGCATTGGCGGATTGATTGGCTTCAAAACATCGAGCGGAGTTAAAACTTTGCTCGGAGTGCCGTTGGTTGCTGTCGTGTCCCAGCCTAACCAGATTTCTATCAGTAGGGTTTGGAATGGTAAGTAAGATGGTTTCTGAAAAATAGCTATAGAGCTGATCTATTTTAGAATACTAATGAGCCGATAAGATATACGGCCAGCCAAATCGGTTCTTTCGATTGACAGCTGCGACCTAGTACTTCAAGTTGACAGCCAGCAAACAGCCAGCTTGGCCACTATCACACGCTTGTCGTTATCTGGTATGAAATTTGCATGATGTCACGGTAAATCATTCCTAACACATGAACTTTGTCGATACGCCAAGGCTACATAAGGCGAAATCCACTGCTTGCGTGTAGGTATGGGGAGCCTGAGTGGAGTTTGGAGCGTGTCCATCAAAGCCCAAGACATGGGCTTTTTGATATTTGACAGCGGTGATGTTCACATAACCATGAAGCGGCCAGTCCGCAGTCCCAGACTTTTCAAAGAATGAAAGATCCGAAACCTCAGAGGTTTCTGCTTCCCTCTGGATGACCTATAAACGCTGCTGGCTAGCGCTAGGGAAATACCAACCCCTAAAGGGTTGAACAACCAATGCTGTGTCGCAGTCCATGTAACGTACCGATCGGATTTTTTCCGGCGCTACGGTAGGTCGTGCCGGTCAGTCAAGAAGACTTGCAGTACATAGTACTACGTGACTATGCGCGATAGGCCAACCAGAAGCGTGGCGTAGAAGTTAGCTGCATGTAGAACGAAATCTGCCGCCGTTTATATTTAGTAGACAATTACTAGTAGACAGCGTACCGAACTAGATCTTCCAAAGTCGGAAGCGTGTCTGACTTCTAGTCACTTCAAGGTTGCGTGATCCTTGCAGCTGTGCAGGCTTGCATACGTGCCCCCGGGAACTCTTTCTGTCTGCTATTTTTGCCATCGCTCGCGGAGGCTTTATGGTCTGGTAATACTAGATTCGATCCGTTTACTAACTCGAGTCTTTTACAAATAGAGATCTGGTCTAGTGACACTTATCAGTGGATCGTATCGAAGGAGGTCTGGCCGGAGACATCTATTCAGCCAAGATAGCCTATGTGTGATAGCCCGGTCCTGCCTTCAAAGCCACGCACCGGGTTCTCGACGGTGCGTAACCGTTATGTCCCACCTGGCACATGGATGTTTGATTCACGCGAGCCAGTTGAATGCAAGATGTAGATGGCAGAGTCTCTGCACAGCAGTTTGTCAGTGAGCAGAAAGTCATTTTTGCAAATGCCTGGATTGTTTCAATGTCAGGTGAGCATGCCGTTGAATTGTTATGAACTTTCTGCTTATTAGCAATCGTAGACATTATGACGTGGAGTGATAGGAAATCGACCCGCAGGATGTGGGATTCACGGTATCATAAGTTACGCGGGGTGCTGAGGCCCTGAGTACTTATAAGGTCCGTGGCATGTTTGCGTCCTATCGTGCTGAGGTGCCTTGAAGCAGTCAAAGATCTTTGACCGGTCGACCCTTGCCAATTGGCATGCTACTTTATCATGGCGCTGTTGCTGAAGGCCTGATGAGTCACGCTTGACCCTGATTGGAATTGTTATATATTCTGCCTACCAGGCGCGGCGCCGTGCTCGACACTACTAGCGCCTCAATCCGACTCTCTCTTAAACATGATGTCACAAACCTTCATTCATCTCTCAACCATCCTCCAGTCCCAGAATGTAAGTGACTGATATTTGTTGACATCTTCGTTTCACTCATATCTATAATTTTGGCACTGACAGTATTTTTTCGGTGCTATTCATTTCGACCATAATAATCTTTCATAGCTGACAGGGTTCGCGCTAGCATCACTAGTGGCTTCTTGGGTGCGCGCTCTTGTCATTTGTCCAGTCGTTATTCATAACCATCTCGTCACAGGTCTACGATTGTTTCCTAACATTGGACCAGGAGGTGATTTCATCTTTGCGAGATATCATAGCATGTCGATCGACAGTCGATTGTTGTGTATAGGTATCTTTGATTCATTGGCCACGGTGGAGGAAAGGAAGTATTCTTTATATCATGACGAGATACCTGCCAGCCTTGATGTTCTCTGTACAATTATGCAGTGAGTCCAAATCGCATGCTCTATCGTCAACTTGCAGCTGATCAGGATACTGAAGTGAACTATCTCCCGAATGAAAAAATTGTGGTGAGTATTAGTCGGAAACAATGTCACCTGCCATCCTGAGGATTCGCCGATGTAGACTTGTAACATTCTACAGTCAATGTGGTATGGTAAGTATTGTAACACTAGAATTTGCCAGTTCCGTTTCAAGTCCGTCCCTCAGGTGCTGCTGCATTGTGCATGGCTGGTGCAGAAGGTATTACGATGTTTATAGTGTATTCACGCAGAATACTCACAGGATCTCCAGGTATCTTCATCCTTCGTACCTATGCATTATGGGGACAAAAGAAATCCATTCTGGGCCTTATGTTGTCAACGGCACTCGTGCGCATACAGTTGAGTTCCCACATTCTGTACTCTGACATACCTCACTTCAGTGCCTGGCGATCTTGAACGTGATGATAGCACTGAAGGTTTGGAACCAGTCGGAACGTGAGTGTCTTGAAGAAGAGCTGCATGTAAATTGCTCAGTGTAGGTCGACGACAGACCAACTATCAGACATAGGTGGCGGTTGTTACTCACTGTCCCACGAGGTTGTATATAATTGGTCACTTCTAGCAGCATTTGAGCTTGGTGAGATCACGAATCTATAAATGTAGTCGAGTGCTCACTTTTTACCTCAGAGGTCATCGTACTCACCATGATTCGTGTATATTGGTCATACCGCGAAAGAAGGTGTCTGCTGCTCGATATCCTTCTACAACACAACATTTTCTACTTTGGAGCTGGGCTAAGCAAGTAGTACCTTCATGACTATCAAAATGGAATTAATCTTTCAATCCTAGCACTATCTGTGATCAATCTTTTAGCCATTGAATGGAAACCCGAATCCAACTCAATATCGGCTGGGGGTCGTGATCCTTTTTTTACGCAGTTCAACTCCTCAAATATGTTTGCAACATTTCAAATCGTCATGCATACGGTCCTCGTTACTCGGATGCACCTACAGTTTTGCAACACCGTTTGCGACTCCCCTGAGCCCGGAACCACATCACACTCTCAATTGACAAATATTGAACTTCAGACGCGTTCGCATTCGAATGCATGATGATTCAATGGAATCTGTACATTTCATTTAGACGTTGTGTTGCAACGAATCCAAGCTGTTGTTGGGCCATCAGGAAAAAGTGACAGATATAGGGTAATATATAGTGTTTGCTAGGCTAGCGAGTAAGAGGTGCATAACATTGCTGGAGTTTACGAACGAAGTTTCTCGGTCGAAAATTATCAGACGTCTCAGAATTGGAGTGCGACTCTTTAAACAACAACAACACTGAAAGAACTTCTCGACCACGACGTTAGAGAAAAAGGAGAATTTCAAACCAAACAAGCAAGTAAGGACAAGGAGCAACTCGTCCGACCCGCTGCGTCACCAACATAGTAATATTTCTTGCCTCTTACTATACTACTATGTACTACTAGGGGCAGCCCTACAAGCGGTGACCTTCGGTTGTTGCTTTATTACGAAAGCAGACTTTTGTACACTAGTATATTTGCACTAATTTTCTTCGTCTCCTCTTGAAACTCGACGGCCTTTGACACAGGTCATATAGTTGACCAATGAGCAAAAGGATCTGTTCTGAAATCAAGAACTGTGCGAGAGCGGCGCAGTCGCAGAAGAATCTGTTTGCGTTTCACCGTCCAACAGGAGTAGTAAAGATGAAAATAAAACGTGATTCGTGGGATACAGTGGTTCTTGAGCTTTGTGGAGAGAAGAAACCACGTTCGAGGCAAGCGCGAGCCCGTTAGCCATTGTGTGCGCCGGGAAAAGAAAAGCGAGAGTTTCGTCAGTGTCTGTTGAATTCACAGAATAGGCCCCAACGTACGATTGCCGTCACCGAGAAGTTCTGTTGGTTCCTGTGAAAATAGCATGGGCAGCTTGGGTGGGACAACAGTGGGTAACAGGAGGACAATGTGGATTCCAGTGAGAGATCAAGCGTTCACAGTAACACAAGGAAACGCTAAATTGTCTAGCCAACTGGTATTCTTCTAATATTCATATAAACCAGTCTACGAGAACAGTTTCTTGTATGACTTTTTCTCCCTCTCCCTTTTTTCCCTCTTCTTCTGCCTCACTTTCGCGAGTTCTCCCAGGATCGCCGGGTCTTCGGGTGCAAGCTGACTAGCAGCAACAAGATCCGCTTCAGCTTCGTCTTCCTGCTTCAGAATTACATGCGCTGACGCCCTACGATAAAGGGCCTTGGCTTTATCTGGGTTACTCAGCTGTAGACGGTCCAAAGCTCGCGTGGCATTCTTCACTGCAGTTTCGGTCGCTGCTGGTTGTGTGCGTAGCGCAGCGAGTGATGAGTTTAATAAGAGGGGTGCAAGAAGCGATTCATAAGAGTCCTTAAGCTCCGGTGGAGAATTTTCTGGCAATTCGGGATGGACGTCTAGGTATCTTACCGATTCTAACATCTTGTTAACAATGCAGGCGAGAGATGTTTGCGGGATTGCTCACTGAGGTACGCTTTGAGTGCGAGTTCTATTTGCCCATCCTTGAAGAGCTTGTTACCGAGCTCACGGATTTTACGCGCAATATCAAGCGCAACTTCGGGGTTCTGCACATCGGAATCGTCGTCTTCAGGGTAGTCCTCGTAGCCGTCACCAACAGTCGTCTCGGAAGTCACGAGGGAGGGGTCATCCGGTGAGAGAACGCCGCAAGCAGATATAACGATAGGGGAAGTGGGGACATCTCCGGACCCAGTCGGGAAATTTTCTATTGTACGGACTACGCATAGCATGGTAAGCAATTCGTGGAAAAGGAGGATAGATGCTTGGGCAATATATCATACCTATTGATTTGCCCTTGATCACTTCACCGAAAACCACGTGCTTGCCATCAAGATGGGATGTTGGATTCACGGTGATGAAGAATTGCGAGCCATTAGTGTCTTTTCCTGCATTTGCCTGAGAAGTAGATTAAAACCACTCTGCTGAATGGAACTGAGGGGATTCTACCATGGACAGTAAGAAAGGTTTCGTGTGTTTCACGAGGAACGCCTCGTCTTCGAATTTCTCGCCGTAGATTGATTCCCCCCCAGTGCCTTTGTAGACGATGAGTTTGTGACATTTGGATGTAGCTTTAGGACGCACCATTGCCCTCCGTGAAGTCACCACCCTGACACATGAACCTGATCCATTGGGTTAGCCTTCATTGTGACACCAGGTGAAAGCTCCTACCCTTTGATTACGCGGTGAAAGCCAGATCCAGCGTAACAAAGGGGTTTGCCAGACTTTCCAATACCCTTTTCACCCGTACATAATGCACCTAGAAACGTCAAGACTATGACACGACTGACAGAGTATCTGAGAACTCACGAAAGTTTTCAGCTGTCTTGGGCACCGAGTCCGCGTATAGCGAGAATACGATACGCCCAGTGGGTTTGCCACCGATAGTGATATCAAAGTAGGCGATAGGGCGCTTTGCAGGTGTTTCAGACATGTTGCGTCGATGGCAAACAAAGGAATTCAAGTAGGGTTTTTGCACAGCGCTTGTGGACGAGGGTTATAGCGGGCCGGGTGCTGTAAGAGTGACGAACAAGTATTTCTGGCAGTTTCGAGAACTGTCTATATGAGATCTGAGTCGATGCGGCCGATATGACCACATCAATTTGCCATCGATACTAGTACTTTCAACTTTTTCTGCTAGTGCCAAGCTCAAGTTCAGAAGCTAGCCGCATTCTACAGATGTCATTCATACGAAAACAGTTCCTATGTAACTCGCGCGTTTCCTAGAACGTCTGGTTCGAGATGGCGCCAATTCTGTCGAAAATTGATCCAATCAGCAGTACTTACATGTCACGGTGCAGTGACACGAGGACAAGTGACAAAAGGCACGTGCGTCGTGCAAGTTGGCTCTGACCTAGCATCGCCCCCTCCACCAAGCCATTATACATGACAATATATGCAGAACATGTTCTTTTTTTCATCTTTAAAAACAACGTACTAGTAAAGGCTCAGCGCTCAGCATCAACGTAACGCACCCAAAGGACTCCGAACCGGTTTTCTGGTGTGCTTTATGTGCAGAAAGTTGATGTGACTTCGGACGGGCATTCAAAGGGTTCCAGCTCCCGGGCACTGGCAGTGGCAATACAGACACTTACCTCTTGACCGTCCTCCCACAACAGCTCACCGAGGCCTCTTACATCATTTATGACCTTCAACTGGCGTCCAATGTCACGGTCGCTTTGCCAGACGGTTGCGAGGCCTCAATCGTGGAACTTTAAGATGGTCCAGTCAAAGGACACTTCACTAGTGTTCAATTTGTCAAGGTAGAATCCTGCTCCAGTACACATCTCATGCAGTGTTGAAATTGAATCAATCACAGGCCTACTTTGACAGAATCGAGGAAATTAACTTAAAGGGTCCTGGGTTACATGCGGTCATCGAGAGTCGAGACTAATCCAATAGCCTTATCACAAGCTGCAGCCCTTGACGATGAACGGAAAGACAAAGGCGGGTGTGGGTGCGGGCCATTGCACAGAATACCATTAAGTTGTTGAAAGATAGCGTTGTTACGCTGCACGAAGAAGGTGTGATTTTTGTGTTATACATGTACATGCAGTGCTAATAAATTGATATCCGGATAAGGAATGGACGCGATCGCAGGTACATTCTGTGATACTGCCTTCCATTTTGCAGATCACAGCTTTTGGGACTATCCTAGGTTCTTACGCCCTGCTGGCTTCTGTCGTTCCTTGGGACGTATGCAGCAAAATCTGGATGGGCCTGATCCTGGAGATGAACTTACTTTATATTAGCCCGGACTAGTCCCGGACTACATGAAAGTGCTCGACAAAAACGCCCTTAAAGACGCTCGTTTTGGAATGCCTCGTTCTTCATCTGCGATATCAAGATAATCGAAGAGGCGTTCAACTCATCTCTTGACATCGTCCGAGCTTTGGGTGCGGAAATCGTTGACCTCGCAGATTTCTTGGACAGAAAAGAACTACTGACATCAAAGGCGGAGAAGCGGCTACTGGACGTGGACCTTCCTGTTTTTACGAAGGATATTTAAATTCATCCAACCGGAAGCCGTGATGAAGCCTACCTATCAGTGCTAGCCGAAGATTTTGACTTGGGACGCACGGGAGGAATTGACGCTGCTCTGGCCCAGTTCAATCTCGATGCCATAGTTCTACCAACCGGTGGACATGCATCGACTGCAGCAATCACGTGGTATCAGTTAATTTCAGGCTAGCATTGAGTCCTTTGGAGTCAGTGACCCTATGCTGAAAATGTTTCGTCTTTCCCAACTTTTTGTTACGTTCTACTGGTCATCACCGCTTCTAAGTGAGCACGCCTCGATCCATCCTCGCAGCACGTGCTGACAACGTATACTAGAACAATCAAGCATTCGAACTAGTTCCTGTATACCTCGCACGTATCCATGTGTGGTATTGATAACTCTTTTTCGGGGACCCACAAAAGCAGCCTCGTGCCATTTTGAAACCGCAGTGAGTGCTTTCACTGATATGCCATGAGTCTGGGGATATTTTTGGCCGTGGACCAAACATGCGTATGCATGTGAGACTCGGAACTGTACCTCAATATTGGATCTTGTTTTTATATTGGCTACTGGTACTACTCTACCAACTTTTGATTCCCTGTACACCACCGAAGCCACTCTCGAGGCGGCTTCTCCTATGGAAGAGGTCAAAAATAGTTCAATGCCTTTATCGACGCTGTTCGCACGAATGACATAACTTCCTTCAACTGTCGATATCTTCCACGAGGTGGGTTCATGGGAGAGCTGTCGGTGTACCCTTTCTTGGAACCTTCGCAGGCTAGGAGGCAACAACGATATCAAGCACTTCCTGGCGCACGACTCGAGGCAAATAAATCTCCAATTGAGCGAGGTGCGCAAAACGCCTGCTCATGTCGTACCGCGTTCAGACCACCTAGCTTTTATTCGTTTCAGTTTCACCTTCGAGGCATCTCATGGGAAAGGTAGCGGGGTTTACTATCTAATCCCAAGCGGACCGGGCCCCCCAAGTGGCCTGGAAAACACATGCTCTGTTGACACATTGATACGCTGAAAGTATTTCTGATACGATTTTCAACGGAGCCTGGGAAGAGAAACGAATAAATGAGTCGAATCTTCCTAGCAGCGATCCGGAGATCGGCGTGTTATTGGAGCTGGTAACATAGCCAGTGCGGTTTGCAAGTCGTTGCACATTTGAAATACAGTCCGCCTTAGTGATCGAGTGTAATGCGCGGGTGGGAGACAATGCACGTCTCTTCAAAACTTCACTCTCGATCTCGTTCAACCTCACGTGTCCCTTTCACTGGAGAACTCAATGCAGATCATCATCTTGCACAATTCAATCAGTGCGTCATTTGTTAGGTTCAGGGTCATTTTGTTCACCCCGTGGTATAGATCTTAATCACACGGCTTATTTAAGGTTCGCTAGCTCATTCTTTTGCTCATTTTACACGCAGATTCCCCTTCACTCGGCCATGTTTCAGCCCTGCATCCAAAGTAAGTCCCACAGAAAGCTTTATGAAAAGTTCATTGAATTCCATTTCCATTTTCAATTGTTTTGAAGGCTACGCTCACTTCTTGGACATGATCGTCTGGCCATCGTCAAGTAATCTTGGGAAACAGTCTGTGATGACGTCACAAAATCTTGGGATGTGGTCATTGATCGTGAAGAAATGTCACATTTCTCGAAGGTCAAGCACATCGTCCTTGAGCCCGGCCACAGCGGCAGCATCCCCCGATCCCTATATCTTGATCTTGGTGTGAAGGTATAGTGATACTTGTCTATCGAAGGAATAATGTTCCTATCTTCAGTGCATGGTTTCCTATAGTGTCATGCTGAGTCTATGCAACCATGACGTTGACGTGACCATGTCAGTTTAGTTCTCCTTCCAGTATTTCCATATACAAAGTTCTTCCACATTTGTTGTGTCGCGCCATGCGTAAGCAGCTGGACATGCAGGTAGACATCATTCACGTTCTCAGCCCACCACAATTATTTACTACAAGAATAGTCAATTACATCGGCGACTTCCCAAATCTGGCCCCTGAGGGTGTCTGTCCCAGCGCCTTGGTTTTGGAACGCGGCGGAGGTTTATATATCAGTGAGTTCTCGTATACCTAGAGTGGCAGAAAGAATTAAATATTTCCCCGCGGACACTGGCATCAAGCTAATTGGGTTGGGCACTTCACCACATGTGGCTTGGTATTAAATGGTGGAACGGAGCTTCAAGCCGACGCAGTCACCCCTGACACGGGGTATGTGCGTTGTTCTACCGGAGGCGGAGGTAATTTGCCGCTTTGGCAACCTGCATGATAGCGTGAGGTTGATGTGCGACAATGAAGTTGCGCAGAGAGTCGGGCCCTTATTTGGGTTGGATGATGAAGGCGGACAACGTGGTGTCTGGAAGCATAGCGGACACGAGGGTCTTTGAGTTGCGGCCGGTGCGCGACCTCATTAATAAGGAAACGATCTTGCATGCTAACGAGCCCCAGGAAGCCTATCACGAGCACGCTTTCGAAGCATGCGCCTAGCCTTACATGAGCTACACTCTGAGCGTCATATGGCTTCTCGCCCACGATCTAGCAGAGATTAAAGCGCGCTTGGGAGGCTTGTTCAGGCGAGAAGAACTTATCTTTTAGGTTAGGTTCGTGGGGTGATCGTCATCGGGTAAGCGCAATCTGGGGCAACATTCAACCCCAAACCCTATGATACTTTCTCGACATGGCTCCGTGTTGTGTGTGGTTTCGTATGTGTTCGTGATTGATCGTGTCCATTCCGCAATTCAAAATTATCGTGAGCAGGGCACAAACTAGTTAAGTACCACTTGGTGTTTTAATTTCCCATTTAGAAACTACTACTAAATATGATCATTCTCATGATGCGGCGGCACTAGCGGACAAAAAGGACTAGACGACGCCGCATCTTCGTGATCTATAAACGTGTCGTGGCGGCGACGCGGTAAGGGCTGATAAGACAGTGCCGCGCAGCATCCTTCACGACGAGCCTGAAGAGATTCTTAAGATTAATGTCCTGCAGGCGTTGAGGTCATGGTGTTGATCGACGGAAAGGTGGACGTAACTGAGGAAGCGAAGAAGATGCCGTGGGAATAGAAAATGCATATGTATTTCCGAAATGAATTACGTCCGCCCAAAAAGTAAATTGCGAAATATTATTATAAGAAACCATGTTGAATATCAATTTGAGCTGTTCTCGGTCCTGTTAGCCAGCCAGTCTAGTGCCTTGCCCAGCACGTCCTTTTCTTTCTCGTTCTTCGTGGTCTCAATCTCCGTGCTTTTCCTTTAACAAGTAGGGTGTACTCCCTTGACTGCTTCTCACTATGAGCGTCCTTGTACCCACCAAATTTCCTAGCGTTGCTGCCATCATGCTTGCCTGCATTGCATCTTTCGTCTGTCTGTTGCTTGCACGCATATTGTATTCCATTATGCGTCTCTGGTCTTGCCATCCTCTATCAACAGCGGCGGACGAGAAGACCCCTGCTTGGTCCTCTTTGTTGTCGCTAACCAACACTTGGAGTCGGTCTTTGCAGCGTGCTCTCCCAGCGTCACTACCCTTTTCGTTGACCATCCCGGAGAAACCATCACCTGAAGTTGGCACAGGGGCAGGCGTAGGACTTTCGCATAAAGCTCTTGAATCTCTCCCCGGCAACTGGCAATTGTGTCGACCAGCTCCTCAATTCCAGCCACCACGTGAGCCAGGAATTTTCTATCGGTTTCTGTGCTCCAATACTTACCTATTGTATCATAGCACCGGCTGTGTACCAAAATCCTGCGCCTCTCTCCATGGCAAAGCTGATAATGTCACGACACGTATGCAGTGCCTCCTCACTTGGTAGTTACGATCACTGACGCCTTGTGCAATTCAGACTTTTCGCCGCCCCAATCCAAACCGGCCACGGAGATTATCTACTGCATCCTCATCCCGTCCGCCACAGCCCACCTCCCAGCTGTTCCACTCCATAGCATAAACACAAATAGTATTTCATTCCCGCGCCAAAATAACACCGCATTTCAGGGCGCGTGGATGAACTATCCTGGCCGGAAATAAATTATAACCCACCCACGCTAATCCACGAACAAATCTCAACGGACTGGTCACTCAAGTACTCATAGTCCACTGGCATGAGCCCTGATGATATACCACGGCACCCACGTGTTTATTTATGATTGGACTTACGTAATCAAGGCAAGACGAACCAACGACAAAACGGCTCTTGACTTTTATGTACACACTGGACATACTTTCGAACTTTGCTTTGCTTATACTTTTTTATTCTGTCGATCCTTTTATCTTTTACTATCATTTAGTCCTTGTTCCGTGAACATACCATTATCATTACATGGACGGCTCGCCGTTTGTCGAGGATCCGTACTTATCCCATATGTCAACCAAAAGAACATATATTTTTGAGTTTTCCGAGCCGTACATCGAGTCAGATGTCCTACACTTTGATCTTTCGATTCCGTCGGCCTATCGGATCTGGACAGATGTCATACGCGCACTCAGCCACCGATGAGCATCAATGATGATCAGGGTTGAAACGTTGACCCGAGGTTCGCGCAAGCCGCACAATAAACATATGGATCGATGCGGCGTGCCAAGCCAACTTACAAGAGTACAGCGGTGTAGTCTCTATCACATCATGATATAGCCTGTTAGTAGATCCATGGAAGTACCAGTGACAGGTCACGGGCCATCAGTGAATTGATGAGTCCTCGATTTTGTGGTCGTGGGAAGTATAGGACGATATCTAGGGCTGTTCACCGTACCGTATACGGTGTACGGCCGTACCGTATACGGTGTACAACCGTATGAAGTCAAACAGTAACCGTCTATTACGGTTTACAAAAAACATGCTGACGGTACGGTACGGGGCACTTTACGGCCGTATATGGTACATACGGAGCCTTAAACTCATGGTGTTGCGTGAGGAAATAGAAACCGAGATAGGCGGACAATGTGCAAGGAAGAGGCCACGCAGATATGATGAGCTCCTCATGTGCCCACACGGATATGTACCCTGTATCAACTTGTAAAAATCAAATCAATCCAAAACACCAACTGTGCACTCCCATCACCCGTATATCCGACTCCCCAGCTCAAAAAAGAATGAGTCATGCACTCACCATCTTGTCCCTCTCGCTTACTCGCGTCCTCCAGATTCCAGCCTTCACTCCATCTACGCCGTCGACGATGAGGATCGAAAACCTGCCAACGCAAGCCAATTATATTTAAAGGTAACACTAGGATGCCCTTACCTGGATATCATTGGTTGTCGAGAAATGGTCAAGGTTGTTGAAGACAATGACCTTGTGACATTGGTTATCATAGGCGATGATGTCAAGATTCAAAGGTCCGAAGGCGAGTTCAAAGCGAGCTGCAAATTTTCACCAATGAGCTTCAAATTGTAGGGAACAGTTTCAATACCTCGACGGTAAACTCACATTGTCAATGGCTGGTCGTAATGATAGATGCTGGTCCTGCAGTTGCAGGCTTGTTACTTTTAGCATACTGCAAAATCAAATACAGTTTGGTTTTGAGCTTGCAATGCAAAGCGCTGGAGACGATAGAAACTGACAGCTGCGAAACTGAGCCGATCTGGTTTGACCAAGTTTAACTGAGCTCACACGTGATGGAAACAAAACGAAAGTGGAGGTGAGCGAGAGTATGACAAGAAAATATAAGCGTGAAGAGCGTGTGGAGTGCTTTTCGAACACCTTAGAGGGGGGCGCTGACATTCAGAAAATGAGCGCTGAAGGAAGAAGAAGTACACACAGTGTCTCCAGCAGCCAATAGAACATTGAGCAACTGATCGAGGATCAGGTCCGGAACGACTCGTTGAGAAATAAGACATGTGCCTACTGCATGTAGCGTCAAGGCATGTATTGTTTACAGAAACCCATACTTACCCCGTATTACGGCCGTATACGACCGTACAAATATGGCAACATACGGTACTTTTGTACCCGTACACCGTAACCGTCAACTGAAGGCCAAAACAGCCAACGGTACGGATACGGCGACCGTATTACGGCCCCGTACAGTTCCGTAATACGGCGTACGGCGAACAGCCCTAACGATATCTGTTGGAAGTCAACATCGTCTTCGTACTTTCTTCTCTTTTTCCTTTTCTGGTTCTGATGTTCCGGACCCTATACATATAACTTATAATCTCTTTGTATCATGTTGTTTGTACCTCAGCAGTCTTGTTCACGACACTGAGGTACGTATTATGTTCAGCTTGCACACCGACTCTCTCTAATTGTTTCTCTTCTTTAGGCTCATCTTTTAGGTACTATTAATATAAGCAGTCTTGTTCACGACACTGAGACTCATCTTTTAGTTCAACGTTCAACAGGTTATGAGCCCTGGCTCAATAAAGAGCCATCAGATAGAACTACTAGAAAAGTCTACTTGCGCCTGCCCGCCGCTCACGCATCTCACTCTATTCGCATTAATCTCGTGACAGTATCATCATGGGTAAATACGATCACATTCCTGAGTTACTGGGTATGGAAAACTATGTCGGTTGGTCCACAAAGATGCAGTATGCTCTTGCGTGCAAAGACTTGTGGTGCCACATCAACATGAATCCTGACCCGACAGACCTACTCAGAGCGCCATCTTTAAGCCCATTCCTGCCGATCCCAACAACATCACGCCTGCCGAAATAACGGCTATGTGGGAATGGTTGTTAAACGACATTAAGGCTAAAGACCTCATTACACGCTGTCTCAATGCAGCTGTCGGAGCGCTGGTATCACATTCACACACTGTCTCAGCTCACGATGCGTGGAAGACCCTCGCTGAACACTTCAATTGCACTGACACTAGTGCTCAATATCAGCTGCACCAACATTTAGATGCATTACGAATGAAAGACTCTGCCGATGCTACTAACTATGTCGGTCAGCATGCAGTATTCCGTGAACACCTTAGAGATTTGGGAGCCGCCATGCGTGATGGGGACACTATCTACAGCCTCCTCATCGGCCTCCCTCAGACTCCCATATGGCAACAATTCCGGTCAATGTTGGAACAACGGATGCACAACGAAGTGATGACAGCCTTACTTGGAGCTGTCCCTACCTTCACTGTGGATAGCTGCGTCTCATGTATTACAGCTGAAGCTGCACGCCACATATACTCACAGTCGTCTCATTCTGCTCGTCCAGGATCTGAATACGAGAATGCAGCCACTCCTTCCAGCGCACCTATGTCGAATGTCAACGCCATCACTGGTCGAGGCTATACTGTCATAAGTATTAATAAAAGGCCTGGCATTGCAACAAACCATGGATGCATACTTGGTGAGGATCCTCAGCCCCCACAAATGTATGCATACATGCTTCCTTGTATCAATACATAGACTTGTACCTGTTGTGTTCTACCTCCGGCTTCCTTGGTATGCTTCTTTGTATCAATACATGGGGCTTGTACCTAATTCCGGCTTCCCTCGGCTCCTTTAGGATGCTACTTTGTATCAATACACGAACTAGCACCTTTTTTTGGCTTCCTTCCTTGTATCAATACATGGATTCGTACCTATTTTTCAGCTTCCCTTGGCTTCTTTGGGATGCTCCCTTGTATCAATACACCGATTTGTACCTATTTCTGGCTTCTCAGTATATTCCTGGCTGCCGATGCTTCTTTTGCACCAATACACTGACTTTGTACCTACTTCTGCAATGCTTCCTTGGATCAATACACTTATTCATATCATTTCGGAGATCGGAGGCATCCCCACACATTCTATTTCAGGCAGTACCATTGGTTCGGGACCCAAAACTTAAGTACAAGTCCCCATCGACTGTGCATCACCTATTTTCACAGTGTTAACCAGTGTTATTGTTATTTTCATGGTCCTGACCATCTGATTTCGAATATTGAATAAAGATTCGCACACCGACACTAGGTATATGTTCAAGATCAAATGCATTATTTATTACGACAAACACAATCAAAGTAATATGACAGCAACAGCGAGATAGCATCAAATATCAGCAAGATAACACGCAGAAATCGAGAGTACGATGAAGCACAAGAAAATGAGCCCTATGAACCATACATCTAGGCCACTGACTTACGGGCCCTATTACGTCCTTTCTTCACGGTGTTCTCACTGCCAATGCGGTTGGCTTCATCCAAGTGTGTCGATGGAACATGGGAGCGAGTGCTGCGACGGCGCGACTGATTAGCAATATCGTCAAGTGGCCGCATGATGACGTCTGCGTTTGTTGCAGAATCACTGTGAGGAATCTGATGGGATGCATCTTCTGCAGAAGCTGCTGGTGTAGAAGATGTCTGAAAGTCACCAGGTGCTGACACACGTGACGCAGTAGACACCAGAGATGCGGTATTAGCAGACTCTTCAGACGCAGGGGGAGCAGAGTCAGAAGACACTTCTGATACAAGTGGCATGGCTACCGGTACCTCAGTGATTGTTGGAGGTGCCAGAGATGCCAAGGGTACCTCAGTGGTTGTTGGAGGTGCTGGAGATGCAGAGGATGAGATGTCAAACTGATCATATACAGAGGGGATTCTCGTGCCTCTAGTCACTGGACGTGGATGAGGTAGGTGAGATTGCACCTCAGGAGTACTATTGGACTTGATTCTGCAAAAGCGTGGAGGAGACGATATGAAAGAGGCACTCCCGGTAGCCGAATCCCCATTGTAAGATGTCATGGCAAAGTCTTGATCATCCACAGGCGGCGCGGGAAGGATCGGTAAATCCGGGCGTGCAGGAGAAGGTGGTGGTGGTGGAAGCATTGGCAGATTGAATAGACCAAGGTCTACCTGTGAAAAATCTATTGAAGCTGGGTCCATCGATAGCAAGTGGTCCAATGAAAGCATGGGGTGAATCCCATTTGGAAGCATGTTCGGAAGCATGCCATTGTCGCCTAAGTCATGGAGAGTAGTGGGAGGAGAGCTCTGCAGAGCAGCTGGTACGGTAGGGCCTGCGATGATACTTGGAACTGTGAGAGCAGTGGAAGAAGGGCTCTGTGGGGTAACTGGTGCGGTGATACTCAGGACTGGTGTGGTGATAGCAGGGTCTACCACAGTGATACCAGGGACAACTTGAGGTGAAGTGTTCATAGCTGTAACACCTACATAAATAAGTTTGTATCCCTCCAGGAGAAAAGCTTTGAGACTTACTACTGAATGTGCCCTTCAAAAAGGCAGTAAATGGTTCAACAATGCACCCATGATGATCAGGCAACGTCTCACGAAAGTTGAAACCGGTAGCACCTTTTCCATGGTGAAAGCTGAAGACACGAACTTTGCCGTTCACATGAGGGTCAGGTCCTCCGAGATACACGCTCCCATGCCATCCTGTCGTCTCGTGGATGATATCCAGAAGCTGGCCAACCACACCACCGAGTCCTTCAAGAGATCTCCATGGGCTTCAGTATATGATTCAAGTTAAATGTAATAATGTATATGCTACTCACTGTATTCTCATGGCCTCGGATGGACTGCACAGAACATCAAGTTCCATCTTGGCTTGATCCGCGTGACGAGCGCACTCGATTTTCGCCTCATTCTCCATCTGAATCACAAAACTATCCCCACGGGCAGCCATTGACTTAGCTGCTTCCAAACGTAGCGCGGAGATACGAGGCTTTTGAATGTAATTGTTGTTCTTCATCTGAGTTTCAATTTCAGCCTTAACGTCGGGATTGGACTTGTACTCTGTTTGAATGAAGTGTTCCACTGCTGACGGTCCACGAGTGCGATTAGTTGTTGCACCCATAATTTTGGTGATGGTTTTTGTGAACTGAGTCACGTGCGACCTTCCCGATGAAGAGGATGAATGGTACAAATAAGAACGTAGTTGCTATTTCATTCTAAGGATTAGTGAACCGAAATGAAATTTTAAATAAGATATATGTACAGCATGACATTGTTCAGTGTAAACGCCCAACTGCTTCATTTGCTCATCCATCAACTCACTTTCCATAAGTGCGAGACCAGCATCATCCTTGAAATGCACCGCGACTTCTGGCCATTTCTCGAACCACTCTCGGTTAGTGTTTGTAATGTATGCAGCCACATCTCCTTGCAGCTGACTTAGGCAAAAGCCATCCACCTTACTTTTCAGGAAGATGGACTGTTCACAGGTCATCCATGAGGTTCCAGGCATCTGTCAACCGGCAGTAAGGCAAATGAATATCATAATTTCGGATTGATGACACATACCTTGTGTTTTTTTCAGGTCGTTTACGGTTTCACTCCGTCCTTGCGCTGTGTATGGATACTCCATTTAGAACGGAATTTGAATTATTTTCAATCGACCAATAGGAAGCCCTTGATAGCTGGACTTTGCCAAAACATTTAAAAATAAGGCTTGCAATTTTACTCACCCAAGTTGATTTCTCACTCCGAGTCATTGCCTCACTGCTGTCACTGTCCCGTTTGATCAAAATAAAAGTTTTTCCCAGCCATGACGAAACTTTCAGTTTGTCCGAGCTTGTTAGTGCCCTGCAGCTTGTGCGCAACCAGCATTGTAAGTTTGTGCAGCCTTTCCTTGTTGCTCTGCTAAATTCCTGTTTTAGCCATCATCCAGTCTCATCAGCTAGCCGACAAAGGAGACCTTCGGAGCCAGACTCAAGCTGGTTCCTGCCCGGCCTGTCATGCACTGCTTATCCCTTCAGGTAAGTTTTTTTAAATGCAATCATCTTTAGCTTAACACTCATTTTGATCATCATAGCCGTGGCTGATGATGTGGCTGATGCCATTTGCATCCCACTTCCACCAGGCAAGTTTTTTCAAATGCAATCATCCTTAGCTTCTTAACACTCATTTTGATCATTGTAGCCGTGGCTGATGATGTGGCTGATGCCGTTCGCGCCCCACTTTCACCAGGTAAGTTTTTATTTGATACAATCATCCCTAGCTTAACACTCATTTTGATTATTGTAGCCGTGGCTGATGATGTGGCTGGTTCCGTTCGCGTCTCACTTCCACCAGGTGAGTTTTTTGAAATGTAATCATCCTCACTCATTTTGGTTCTCATAGTTGCAGCTGATGATGTTGCTGATTCCGAGGCTGATGACACTAAGAGAACCAGGACCATTGCTAGAACTCCTTCGGCTGAGACCACATCTTCTGGTGTCAACAAGCGCTGGTATGTCATAACTGTGGGACGTGAGACTGGTGTGTTTCAGGGCTGGTATGTATCTCACTGCATTGTTTTCATTTGAGTTCACATTTTTTCAGGCACAACATCCACACCCATGTTATTGGTGTTCCGGGTGCATGCTTTGGACACTACTCCTCTCGTGCTGCCGCCGATACTGCATATATGCAGGCTTTGAGAGATGGATCGGTGTCTCAGTTGCTTGATTGAAGGGTCGGTGTCTCAGCTGCCGGTTTGAATAGTAGATATGTAATCTAGCCAATGTCAGTCTTGCTTGAATGTATCATCTTTTCTTGTCTTTCGTGTGAATGACTGTAAATTTCAATTAGGATACAGGAAGCTACATCGTAGAAGCACTCATGACTCAAATGTATAATACAAAAAACACAGTTATCTAGTGTAGCACTGCTGTATATAATACTGCTGAATGTACCATTGAACATCATGAAATGCTTAAAAAACAAATTGAGTGTGCCTAAAACTGTGACATGCGATATGAGTGCCTCCAGGCACTCATATCCTATGCATGTCACGGTTTTAGGCACACTCAATTTGTTTTTTAAGCATTTCATGATGTTCAATGGTACATTCAGCAGTATTATATACAGCAGTGCTACACTAGATAACTGTGTTTTTTGTATTATACATTTGAGTACAGTAAGTGTCCCGAAGTCGTGGCTGTGTCCGTGGCATGTCAATCATAATTGGTGTCAAACAAGGATACACTTCTTACCCATAATCACACACCTATTTCAACACTCATGGGACGTCGTCCTAAGTCATCGCAAGAGCAACAAGCAGCGCGTCAACAAAGCAAACAAGTGCATTACTTGAGGTGAGCCTTGTATTAAATAACCTACTGGGGAAACTCAAAGCAACATATTTATTAGACACATCGGCTATGAACACATCAAGGCACGACACAGGTGGAGGCAAGGCCAGGGAGCCCACCAGGTACGCTAACTAAATATATGATCATTGATATAGTATACTACTTTCATGCAGGGCATGGCACTAGATGCTTTTGAAACCCTCAATGATATATCAAGCAGGATGTACACCAGTGGCAGTCGCAATCACAATGGCTGTCAAGACCGTGTGTGTGCTGTTCTTCACAATATAGATGTGCAAGGGTGGAACTTAGTGAGACCCCAGTTTTTGGAAGAACTAACATGGGCTCGCACTTTGCTGAAGGATGCAGAGGAGCTGTCGACATTGGTTGCAAAATTTGAGGGTCTGTGCACTACTTATCTCAAATCTGAATGTTCACGTGTCCTTCGCACAACATGTCTATGGCTTGCAGCTGAGGAAGAAATTTTATCTCTTGCAGACAAAGACCCGGAAGTTCTTGATGACGCACTATTCAATTACAGGCTAGTTTGGCAGCGTGTTTAATTACTATGTACCTATGTATACTTGAATTATATCATGTGACACAATGAAAATTGTTTGAACCAAGGTTGCTTTATGTCAAATTCAAAATACAATTATGCCCCCCATTGAGAAAGGATGGCGTCGAAGATTTACCAAATACAATCGTCAGTTCATTGAAGAAAACAATCAACATGCTGCTCAGCGCCGACGTAATGATGACACTCAAGATGATGCTCTACCCAGAAGCATGTATCATGCTCACACGTCTATAGATGTCACACATAGGGACCATCACTCAGTCAAGACCTCATATTTTCGTGCACCTCAAGCCATGCCGGTGCCACATGTTACTTTACCTGTGATGCCATCAGAAGGAATATCGGAGGCTTTCAATTTCGACGTCATGGATGAAGCTTATGTGGATTACCTTGTGGATACAAACACTGACATGGAGCCTGTTAAATCAAAGAGGAAACGTACAGCGGGGGTGAGTGTCTTGCTTACTTATTTGCATGTATCTTACTGACTATGCTCCAGGATGACCCTCAGAAGCTGTGGATCCCCAAGCAAGATAAATTTCTTAGAGAGTTCATCAGACTTGAAGGGTGTGGGGATCCCATGTCATATCAAGCATGCCAAGGCTTACCTGGGTGCTTGAACGAACCTGTTGTGCGCTGTAGGGATTGTGAAGGGTCTCAGTTGTACTGTCAAGCATGCATTGTCGTGCAGCACACCACGATGCCTTTGCATCACATGGAGGTATGTTTTCTTTACATTTTTTTTGAGGTTTGCATTGTTCACCCGTGTACAGATATGGTCTGGTTCTTATTTCCAGCGCATTTTGCTTCGTGACCTTGGTCACCGTGTCCAACTTGGCCATCCTCCAAGTGTTCAGTGTTGTAACCCTGCCTTAGTGTTCGATGATGATTTTGTTGTTCTGGAGATCAATGGCATCCATAGACTTTCCCTCAACTTTTGTAACTGTGCAACCGCACAGACACACAATATCCAGTTGTTGCATGCATGCTGGTACCCATCTACCACTACCAATCCACAGACGGCTGCAGCATTCCGACTTTTAGACCATTTTCAGATGTATACCTTCGAGTCAAAAGGCTCGGCATTTAAATATTATCAGTCACTGGCGCGTCTGACAGACAATACTGGCACATGTCAGCCGAAGGTAAGTGATTCTTTTGTGTTCGTTTGTATTACTAACGCATGTACAGGACCGCTATGAATCTTTCTTACGAATGAGTCGTCAACATTGTCACATTACTTCTCTTTTATGAGCTGGGTGTGGTCATGATTCCAATGGTGTCCTTGGTACAAAGGAAGGAGAGCTTGCAGTACTTTGTCCAGCATGTCCTCACCCAGGGAAGAATTTGCCTCCAGATTGGGGTAACACGGCACCACATATAAAGTACGTTCTATATTCTCAATTCTTTGACTTACATACTCATATTCAGACAGGTGGCTCTATGGACTATTTCTTGCTATCGACGCAAATTTTCGATTATGTCGCCGAAATAAGTCATCCAAGCAGGCAGATCCAAGCTTCAATAAGGGCTGGGCATATTTCATGGAACAATCACGATTCAAAGAGGTACTTGAAGCTTCCGGCACTCAAGTACAAGAGGTGAGCAACTGACATCAATGACATGTGACTGGCTGACCTTCTTGTTTAGAAAAGTTCCTGCGCAAGTCATAATGCAGTCAATCTTGCAGATACAAAGAATGCACGCAGGATGGCAGCCACCGGAGTTGGCGCTATAGTTTGTGCGCGGCACAATCTGACTCGTCCATCAGCAGTTGGTGACCTACAGAAGGGAGAAAAGTAAGTATATTTCTGTTTTTATTCAAATGCGAATCCTCATTTTGTTAGATACGTCAATATGGACTATGTCTTCTTTTCGACCTTACAGCATGCGAGCACTGTCCGTGTCCTTAATATCTCTTATGATATTGCGTGCCAGTGGAGCAAGCACCTTTGGTCACAGATGTCACGTTATCCCTCGACTATCCACTTGTGGCCTGACGACAATGTTGTAACGTTTGTAGTCCTGAAGTTTCATCTACCTGCACACATACTCTCTTGTCAGACCAAGTACTCCCTCAACCTCATAAAGGGTATGGCAAGGACGGATGGTGAAGCCGTAGAACGTGGCTGGTCTAATATCAATCCTATTGCTACTAGTACACAGGGAATGGGCCCAGGGTCTAGGCGAGACATCCTGGACGACCATTTTGGCGATTGGAACTGGTGCAAAGTATGCAACCTCGGTATGAGCCAGATGTCTTGTAAATCCCTTTCACGCCCTCACTTGTCACCTTTTTAGGTCCATTTCTTTTACGAAAACTCAAGGAGGCTATTCCCGAACGCAACCAACATATTCTAGACCTACGGGACTTTGAAGAAGCAATCCCTCCAACAAGCCTTGATCAATGGCGGTGACCTGCACCAAACTGGTTCGGTGCATGGATGACTAACACTCTCCTATGAGCCCTATACCCTATGAAATCATTTTCTCTATGATCTGAAGTCAGACTGAGGCTATGGGAATATTTTTCGCTTTTTTTCATTTTTTACGAGTTTGTACACGAGCGGACTGAATATTTTTGTACATTTAATTCTGCGATGAGTTTTGCTTAGTCAGCCATGAAGATGACTCAGAAGATTCTCACACATATCAGGTGACTGTGAAAAATATGTTTGTGTAAGGTTACCCTGTGGGAAAGCTTACAAATCGCTAAATACACGTCCTATGTGTCATATCCCGTGTTCCGGACCCGGACCTATCACACATCATTTCCGGAAGTCCAGATCCGGCCAACATCTATCTATGTCCGGATCCGACCCGCGTCTAACTTCCGTGCCTTATCCCTTTGTATGTTCCTACTCCAGTTAGACTATATCATTTTCCGTACCTCATTTCATTTCCGCCTTTATTTTCATCTGTTCTAATCTCCGGGTTCATTTACTATTTTCCGATAGACTAGTGTTTGACTTTTCTATATGCTCCATCCACAGCTTTGTATAGCTTCAGACTGCGCATCTCTGTTCTCCGATAAGTCCTCAGTAGTATATAAACCCTGTAGAATCTATGTACATCCTTAGTTCGAATATCATCTTAGACTCTGCTCATTCTCTCCTCCATCCGACTTGAGTTTCTCTCTCGTCGACCTCCGCTCGTCTTAGGATTGATTCCTATAGACTTGTCACCTCCGCCTCTACCTCTGGTAGTCCTCCGCTGTTTCCTTTCTAGTTCGGACTTTGTCCGGATTAGTCTTATCTCTTGTCCCCGAACGTCCGCCGGAATTCCCACGCATCGGACATCGGACTCCGGACATCGTCCAGTAACCTTCGGACATCGTTTGACAGCCCTCGGAAGTTAGGGGCACGTACTCGGGTAAGGGGCGCAGCGCACGAGCTGAAGCCAAGCCCTTCGGATCCGACCTTTGAGCACGTTCTTAACACTATGTCATTATGCTACCAATAAATTCATCAGCCACAGATTTTACAAACATATGTACACAATATGTAAACATTTCTCACTCTTGTCTAGCTGAGTCATCAAGGGTCACCTGACCCATGGGCTATACACAGCTCTTGCTGACTCATCATTATACCAACTAGAGCACCTCGACCTCACATAATCAGACCTTATTTAGGATGCCAAATTCCCAGCGGTATGCCATTCTAACTAGAATAGAATATTAACGCGTCCTACACTGCCAATAAATAGCTCAATATTGCTGGATATCTACAACTTCGAGATAATATTCAAGTTCCCTCGCCGGCAATGTCCGCAATTCCCGCGAACATACCAAACTAGGCAAGACCATACGACACACCCTCAAAACGTTCGTGCTCACTGTCCTTCACGTCGACCTCGAGTATCTCACTCAATTATCTCTCAAACTCTGGCACTTTTCTTGTCCTCACAATATTTCATACATCTTAATTAATTAATCGGGTACTGTATTCAAGTATATACTTAGGAAGGTGTGGAAGCTGCAGGAGTAGCTACCCTGGTGCCTTTCCTTGGACCACGCTTCTTGCCCTTGTCGGAGCGCTCTTTACGAGCTTTCTTTTCAACTGTAACTCCCTCTCCAGAGATAGAGAAGACCCCAGTGAGCTCTGCTGCTGGCCGTTTCCTGTGCTGTGGTGCCGGTGGAGGAGGCTGATCGGTTGATGTAGCGGCTGTGGGTATAGACAAACTGTTGCCCTCCACTAAGTCGGATGATTGTAAGTCTGGAAGCAGCGCTGTGTCGCTTGTTGAGAGATCCACATCAGTATTGCTGGACATCTGAGCCATCGCAGCATTAAACCTGCTAGTCTCCCAATCTCCAAACTCAGCATCTGAAAGCCGACGGAATCGAGTAGAATTAGTCTCCCAAGCATGGAACAAGACACGGAGCTCGTTGCGTGAATTGATGTCCCCTGGACAGCAGAATTTTGACAGCGGCCAGTTCTCGAGGACCACGCCGTACTTCGCAGTTATATTGGTGTCGAAGTTTGTGTAATACATGCGCTGGACCTGCTTGGGTGACGCCGCTGTCCCTAGCACGAAATATTGAGGCTGATAGGAAGACAGGAGAGAACAATCCACTCACAAAGCTTTTGCAGGATCATTTCACTCAAATTCTTCTTCAATTCAAGGACCTCTTCTAGATGTGTTTTTGCGAGGCCTACAAAGTCTAGGTTAGAAGGTACCATAGCATATAATACAGAGATTTCATACCTTGCACGCCTGCCACACAATATCCTTCGAAGCGGAAAGCAAGTGTTCCTAGTGAAGTCTTCAAGCAGGAATCGAAAAACTCTGCAGCGCGAGCGGTGTTGAAAACGTGAGGCTGGTTCCAGTGTTCGGTGTCTCCTCGCACAGCAAGTAAAATGAACTCAATGCCAGCACGGCTGTGCAAAGTCGTAAGCTAGAAAGAATGATTGGTATCATAATTTAGTATAGATGAATCAATCCCACCTCGCGGTTCACCTTCTCAAGAGTCTTGTTGGTGTCTGCCAATGCACCTAACATCACATTATGAGAGGATAATTCCTTCATTTCACGATGTTCTCTCATAGACTCGATGATATCTTCTGTTTCAGCAGTACGCTGGTGTTCGTCCATGTCTTTCCATCGTGCACGAATTTGTGGCATGAGCTCGCAGGCTTTGTACCGTTTTTCGCCAGCTGGTAGTGCTGAAATTCTATAGTGAGTTTGAAGAGACAATGGAATAAAATAATGCAAGTACCTGAGTTATGACACTCAACCTCCTTTTTCACAAAAGCATTCCACTTTGTAACCTTGCGTCGACCTGTTAACCGTGAATGCTGCATAATTTCTTCAAAATAATAGTTGACGGAGTGTCGACCAAATGTTTCACGCAGTAGAGCAGCTTGCTCCTTTACAACATCCCTGGCAGCAATAAGAGCCGCTGCATACTCCTCACGATGCTTCTTGCGTTTGACTTTTAATAAGGCCTTCTGGGCCGCTGTTTGCTTGATGCGCTGACGGTGTCGCCACACTGTTTGTTTTTTGGTAGTTGACATCTTGCGCATTGTCGATGCATAGCGAGCAACAACACTACCTGCCTTCTCGTGTGGAGGCATTGAGGGTCGTATGTGTGAATGTAACACTGAAACAAAGAAACAAAATTTTATTCATGTGATTTCAACAAGTGACAGTGAGCATGTAAAGCGAAGAATGATAAGCTGAGATGAAAAGTTGAAGCGAAGTGATAATCTGATACGAAAAGTTGAGGTGAAAAAGTGATATATCATTCATTATCAGCAACACGGTCATCAGATGTGATGAGTCCCCAAAGGAAGACAGCTTCAGCTATAGGCATACCCTTGGTAGCAATGGCCATAACAAAATCTTGGCATGAAGAACTCGTGTCATGGGCGCACGCAATATGAAGCAAAGCCTTTGAAGTATAACCGTGAGCCTGAAGATACCAATCAGCAACAGGACTGAAAGATGGGAGCGGTGTATCATCGAACTGCGGTTGATCAAGAGCACCACAGATGCCATCGATCTCACGTATGTGCTGGTAGATAGCCTTTGGTGTACTAGGTATTGAGGCATTGGCGGGCATTCTCCAAGTACGTGTCAGATTTTGGGTGGGTGATGAGGGAAGTCGAATGTTAGACATATTATGTGCATCTGCAGTACATATACAGATCAATCTCAACATATTTAGAAACAGAGACTTACCGGTAACTTTAGATGTAGTGTTTGGACTTGACGGAATTGTAGGAAATGGATCTCTTGACAAAGCTGAGAAGAGAATCGGGTAAGGAAGAATAAAGGGTGAGGGGTGAAAAGATACGTATCTTTTCACCCCTCACCCTTTATTCTTCCTTACCCGATTCTCTTCTCAGCTTTGTCAAGAGATCCATTTCCTACAATTCCGTCAAGTCCAAACACTACATCTAAAGTTACCGGTAAGTCTCTGTTTCTAAATATGTTGAGATTGATCTGTATATGTACTGCAGATGCACATAATATGTCTAACATTCGACTTCCCTCATCACCCACCCAAAATCTGACACGTACTTGGAGAATGCCCGCCAATGCCTCAATACCTAGTACACCAAAGGCTATCTACCAGCACATACGTGAGATCGATGGCATCTGTGGTGCTCTTGATCAACCGCAGTTCGATGATACACCGCTCCCATCTTTCAGTCCTGTTGCTGATTGGTATCTTCAGGCTCACGGTTATACTTCAAAGGCTTTGCTTCATATTGCGTGCGCCCATGACACGAGTTCTTCATGCCAAGATTTTGTTATGGCCATTGCTACCAAGGGTATGCCTATAGCTGAAGCTGTCTTCCTTTGGGGACTCATCACATCTGATGACCGTGTTGCTGATAATGAATGATATATCACTTTTTCACCTCAACTTTTCGTATCAGATTATCACTTCGCTTCAACTTTTCATCTCAGCTTATCATTCTTCGCTTTACATGCTCACTGTCACTTGTTGAAATCACATGAATAAAATTTTGTTTCTTTGTTTCAGTGTTACATTCACACATACGACCCTCAATGCCTCCACACGAGAAGGCAGGTAGTGTTGTTGCTCGCTATGCATCGACAATGCGCAAGATGTCAACTACCAAAAAACAAACAGTGTGGCGACACCGTCAGCGCATCAAGCAAACAGCGGCCCAGAAGGCCTTATTAAAAGTCAAACGCAAGAAGCATCGTGAGGAGTATGCAGCGGCTCTTATTGCTGCCAGGGATGTTGTAAAGGAGCAAGCTGCTCTACTGCGTGAAACATTTGGTCGACACTCCGTCAACTATTATTTTGAAGAAATTATGCAGCATTCACGGTTAACAGGTCGACGCAAGGTTACAAAGTGGAATGCTTTTGTGAAAAAGGAGGTTGAGTGTCATAACTCAGGTACTTGCATTATTTTATTCCATTGTCTCTTCAAACTCACTATAGAATTTCAGCACTACCAGCTGGCGAAAAACGGTACAAAGCCTGCGAGCTCATGCCACAAATTCGTGCACGATGGAAAGACATGGACGAACACCAGCGTACTGCTGAAACAGAAGATATCATCGAGTCTATGAGAGAACATCGTGAAATGAAGGAATTATCCTCTCATAATGTGATGTTAGGTGCATTGGCAGACACCAACAAGACTCTTGAGAAGGTGAACCGCGAGGTGGGATTGATTCATCTATACTAAATTATGATACCAATCATTCTTTCTAGCTTACGACTTTGCACAGCCGTGCTGGCATTGAGTTCATTTTACTTGCTGTGCGAGGAGACACCGAACACTGGAACCAGCCTCACGTTTTCAACACCGCTCGCGCTGCAGAGTTTTTCGATTCCTGCTTGAAGACTTCACTAGGAACACTTGCTTTCCGCTTCGAAGGATATTGTGTGGCAGGCGTGCAAGGTATGAAATCTCTGTATTATATGCTATGGTACCTTCTAACCTAGACTTTGTAGGCCTCGCAAAAACACATCTAGAAGAGGTCCTTGAATTGAAGAAGAATTTGAGTGAAATGATCCTGCAAAAGCTTTGTGAGTGGATTGTTCTCTCCTGTCTTCCTATCAGCCTCAATATTTCGTGCTAGGGACAGCGGCGTCACCCAAGCAGGTCCAGCGCATGTATTACACAAACTTCGACACCAATATAACTGCGAAGTACGGCGTGGTCCTCGAGAACTGGCCGCTGTCAAAATTCTGCTGTCCAGGGGACATCAATTCACGCAACGAGCTCCGTGTCTTGTTCCATGCTTGGGAGACTAATTCTACTCGATTCCGTCGGCTTTCAGATGCTGAGTTTGGAGATTGGGAGACTAGCAGGTTTAATGCTGCGATGGCTCAGATGTCCAGCAATACTGATGTGGATCTCTCAACAAGCGACACAGCGCTGCTTCCAGACTTACAATCATCCGACTTAGTGGAGGGCAACAGTTTGTCTATACCCACAGCCGCTACATCAACCGATCAGCCTCCTCCACCGGCACCACAGCACAGGAAACGGCCAGCAGCAGAGCTCACTGGGGTCTTCTCTATCTCTGGAGAGGGAGTTACAGTTGAAAAGAAAGCTCGTAAAGAGCGCTCCGACAAGGGCAAGAAGCGTGGTCCAAGGAAAGGCACCAGGGTAGCTACTCCTGCAGCTTCCACACCTTCCTAAGTATATACTTGAATACAGTACCCGATTAATTAATTAAGATGTATGAAATATTGTGAGGACAAGAAAAGTGCCAGAGTTTGAGAGATAATTGAGTGAGATACTCGAGGTCGACGTGAAGGACAGTGAGCACGAACGTTTCGAGGGTGTGTCGTATGGTCTTGCCTAGTTTGGTATGTTCGCGGGAATTGCGGACATTGCCGGCGAGGGAACTTGAATATTATCTCGAAGTTGTAGATATCCAGCAATATTGAGCTATTTATTGGCAGTGTAGGACGCGTTAATATTCTATTCTAGTTAGAATGGCATACCGCTGGGAATTTGGCATCCTAAATAAGGTCTGATTATGTGAGGTCGAGGTGAACTAGAGTTATGAATATTTACTTTTTGACCCAACGATACCGTGTGACTTGGTACTAACGAACTAAAGTTACAACTTTAAGTACGAGAAACTAGTAGTATAGCCACCAAATTTGTCTATATAAAGACCAGCTTTTTGCCCAATAAAAAAGAAAGTTCCCCACTGTTTTTACCTCTCAGAATAAAATTGTGAGTGAAGTGTGAATCGGCAACCAGCAAGTGCAGTTCAAGGTTGGAGCTCACTGTGCTCAACAACCAGCACAATACTTCCGAGCTCATTGTGTTGAACATCTAGCACATACCTTGAGCTCGCTGTGTCTGACGACTAGCAAGACTAGTTTTTCTTTTTCTGTTTTTCTCTTGATTGTCTGTCTGAATTTCTTTGTTTCTTTTTGTGTCCTTGTCTGTGTCTCTGTCTGTGAATTTCTCTGTGATTTGTCTCTGTCTCTGTGTCTGTTTTTCTGAGTGTCTGTGTGTTTGTTTTTCTCTCTGTTTTCTCTGAGATTGTCTGAGATTCGTGACTGAAACTCGTGTTTCTGTTTTTTTTTCTCTCTCTGTCTCAAGTGTGTGTGGTGTGTTGGTGACTGTCTATACTGACCATCTCTCTGATCGCTGTCTGTTTGCTTTGTGATCATTGTTGCTAACAGTCTCCGTGATCTTGATTGGGTTTGTGTTTTTGTTGTAGCGGTCTTGTTTTTTGTTGTTGTTGTGGTCTCAACCTATCAACTTTCTCTCAAGTACCAAAGTTTCAGTCTCATTCTTACCCAGAAGTTTGGTGTTGTCTCTTTTTGTCCACGGAAGACTCTGATAGTCTAGTGGGGAGACTTTAGGTGTTGACGGTGATACCTGACCTCTTACATCTGTGTGTTATACCAATTGAGGGTAGTCATTTGCGAGTTAGACTTTAGCTATTGAAAAGGGGACTTGGTATTGAAGTCCAAGGTCGCCCGTTCCTGAGTCTGTTTAATACTCATTGTGAGTTCCTTGGCAGCAGGTTCAATATTAGGCTAAGAGTGCTACAGAGGCTTGACTAGGCCTGATGGTAGTTTCACCTGTTTTTGTATTGAGGGGGACTCTCATTGTAACTCCGCACAACTTGCTGCACTAAGTTTGTGTACAAATCCTTGTTGCTGTGTGAAGTGTTAGGAAGAGTGTCTGTTTGTTTTGTGTCATCTCTATATTGTTAGAGTGACTGTGTTTCCTGATTTGTTTTGTTGTCGGTGTTGTTGTGATTGTTGTTGTGTTGTCGATCGCTGACTGACTGAGTTCTGTGTTTTTCTCTCATCGCTGTGTTTCATATCCATATTGTTGGATTGACTGTTGACTGCTGATCACTGACTACTGACTTTTGTGTGAGCCATATTCTACTGACTGTATCTTAGGAGCAAGGCAAGCCACCCACGAATGACCACGTTATCAGTCATTGGTATTTGTCTGAATCGCTGATCATGGAGATATTTGGTTTTATAGGTGTTCATCTATAGATCATCTATCTAAGAAGACAGCAGCTAATGATAATAGAGTGGGAGGCAGACCGTTCCAAGGCAAACCCTTTTGAGACAACTGCATCGGGCATGTATTTACATTTTTGAAGTCAGTTATGTTGTCTGACACATGTATCGCAGTCATCACGCAAGCATCCATCCGGCTCGAACTCTCGCAACTCGAAGGACAACAACTCAGTGATGGTGTTGACTCCTCCCTCCATCCAGAGGTGTGCTAGTAGCCTCAGGTATTGATCTTGAAGCTCTACAGTAAGTCTTTCATCGCATTGGTCATCAAATTTTCATTAATGTTTGATCTCTCAGACAGCGCCTAGCCATAGATACCACAAATATTGGTGCTCACACTACAGATAACCAGCTCTCCCTCCTGCAACAACGAACAAACGCGCTCCACCGTCGTATCGAGCAATGGGTGCAGGTACAAACCCTATATATGCCATGCGTCGCCCGCCTGCAAACTGAGTCACCTGATGCGCCCAATGTGCCTGAAGAAGCAGTCCATCATATAAAATTATTCATGCCTTCGGCTGTGGCGAATCTGGGTATAGCGTGCAATGTCAACCTTTGTCACATTGAGTGGAAGCTGCACTGTGCCCAGGCACACGATGGTCTGCAAGAACTTCGTCAACATCTACGACTCAAACGGCACCTCACTGGCTTCAAAAGGGACTGGATTAGAGGACAACGAGCACATACAAGGTCACAGGCTGTCATCGATACTGTTCAGCTCAAGGTAGACGGCGCAGCTACAAAGTATCGTACAGCTTGGACTGCCCTCGAGTCCCTCAGTGTCAAGCTCTCGAAACTCACGTGGGAGGTTGAGTTTCCGAAACTCAATGATGGTGATATTTGAGGCATGATGGAAGGACAGGCAGGAGGTGAAGCAGAAACAGAAGGTCGAAGGCTAGTGTCTGTGTCTTGGATCTGGAAGCAACGTCATGGTGCAGGTGAAGAAGAGCTTTCAGAAGGTAACTGTTGTCATCTTCTGGTGTAGCGCATGCTGATCATTTGACAGTCATGCGTGTCGAATGGTGCAAAGCATGGGCACGTGCTAACCGATGGGCTGAAGAGGTTGCCATGCTCTTGCAGGAGGAGATGCGGCATGTTATTACATACTTTGATTGGCACACTAAGTGGTGGGATGAACACGCAGTTTCCAGAAGCGATTTTGCAGTCACAGAGAATGAGGCACTTGTCGCATATGCTTCCCGGCAAGCGAATATCTGGTGTTCCATGCGCGACCACTGTCTTTCTTTGTGGTCCGTGGTTCCTGATCTCCTCGCCTGGTCAACAATATTGTGCATCTAATTCATTGTTTTCCCACTTTTTCTGCTTTTTTTGTTTTATTTTTACGTACTGCTTGTATTTAGCACTTAATGTTGATGGTAGAGACTCAATACGCTTGCTTGCCTCAATAGAATCGCTGATTTGGCGCTTTTTGGCCCACACAAAATATATGTTTTTATGATTTCCGTTATTTCTGTATTTTCATTTATACAGACTACGAAAAAACATGTAAGTGTTCTAGGAAGCCCAGGGACACGGGCTCCTAGGTGGTTGAGAAGGATGTCAAGATCTAAGATCTACTATCAAGATCTTCTACTAGATCTACGAGAGATCTGATAGGATCTCGTCGGTGATCAGCAACAAACAGAATACAGTGATATTAGTCAGCACGTAGGGCTACGCAGGGGTGGGGACGTGTTCCCAGCACAGTATGGATACAAGAAACTGAGGGATTGGTCCTACAGGGAGAGTATGAATACAAAGAAGCCACTGGGCATCACTACAGAGTATGCATCCATGGCTCATTACTATGGCCAGTAAGTATTGATACCCCTGCCAGGGTGTGGTGACTGGTCTCCATAAACACAAACACAATCCCGAGGGCATTTTTTGCACCACGCCGGGATGTAATAAAGGTGATCACGACCATGATCACTGTTACAGAAAAGGGGGTGGTATGGAAGGTCAGGCGCCATGGATGCACAACAAGAAGACTGGCCCCAAGGAGACCACAGCAGTCACTGCGGTCACAATGGCAACAATGACAGCTGTACCTCCCGTGCAACCTGCACCTGTCATTGCTGCAGTCGTTGCTGACCTTAGCAGTCTCATGCAAGATCTGTCATTTGTGTCCATTGCGGAAATTCCCAATGAGATCATGTGTGCAACAAACCTCCCATTCACGATGATCTTAGATTCTGGCACGACTGTCACGCTGGTCAAGGACTGTCGCTTCTTTCATATGTACTCAATGGAGAATCCCGTAAATGTACTGACTGCCAATCACGGCATACTCCAGACAACTAGGCATGGCAACTGTGTAGCTCTTCCTTGTGACCATTCCCTCTCCACTATCTTTCCGTTTCTTTTTTTTTATCATGTAATTACATATGTATTTCAATATAAATAAAACTGATTTTTTATTGAATTTTTTCATAAAATGAGTGCTAAGAAACAATGAGTGGTGACAATCTGGTGTTTTTGGTAGTTCTGTTTAACTTACTCCAGGTAGTATCATTCTGACAGATACCATATAAATTTTACGGTTAGATAAAGCTTGGCAAAGCTTTATATTTTCGGGTCAATTATTTGATGCTTCGGAGTTGTGAACCTCCCTTTCGTTATGGCATTATTGATTAATCTAGCTCAATGTTTGACTTTTGTCACACCTTCAATGGGTGACTATCCGTAGGCTGAAATAATGCGGAATAAAATAAGATAGAATAAAAGAGACCATTTAAGGAAGTCGTGCCGCGATGCCGCTGTTCATTTGCATCGAATTTGCAAAACATTATTTTTTGACCCCCTTACAAACTCTAAATCTAGAAGGGGGGGGGGCCCCCCCCCTTACAGATTATTCCGGATTATAAACGACGGATTAAATCCGTTTTGGGCCACTACGCCTAAGCTATCTGCTGACTAATCCATGACTTGAGGTCCGCCTGACACATGTTCAGCATGGCGATGGTCGCCACCTGGTCCAAACATTTTCCAATATACGCAGTCCCATCCCTGAGCTCCCTGGCGATGTTTTTAGCTGAAATTTTAAGATTGCTATCAGCAGATGACGCCGACACGTACCACTGCGACCGGCCAGGGTACGAGCTAGCTCTATTCCAGCAACGAGTGTAGCTGCTAACATCCTCGCGTCTTCTTCGTCGTCAAGAAATGCTGTCTCTTCTCCGTCATTCCCCAGATTGTGGTACTGTAGTAGTAGATCGTCCATTGCAGTTTTGACCGAATTATTTTAATCCAGGTGCGTTACGGTTGTGTTTTCTATACAGATTATCTTTTGCAAATATCTTTCAAAGTCCGTTATAATCTATTCCGCATTATTTTGCCTACGGATAGTCACCCAATTCAAGTGTGAGTTTGAGTAAAATCGGGCCCTTCTCTTGATCATAAAATTTTATACGAAAATCAGGGAAGCGTCTTTCCTCTATATGGCCAAACATAACAATGCTAGTTCTGGTGATTATGTACTATGTATTGTTATTTATTGCTATCTACTTTCCTCACGGGTTCACTGATGGCCCCCGCCGCCACGGTAGTGCCGACTCCCAGCAATGCCCTTTCTTATTTGGTCTCGACGCCGGGCGCCGCATCGATATCTCTCAAGTACCCTCGTGACTATATGAGTCAAATTTACCTCTAGTCCGCGGTCCGTATGGTAGAGAAGTCTGAGTCCTCTATCAATGGAAACTAGTTCAGCTTGTCTGCCCATTCGTCACCTCTCTAGATTGTTAACGTTCTTTGCACTTTTTACCTTTAGATATCGTATTACCTTCTTGATGTTATCAGCATCGACGCCGCATGCAACACCTTATCTTCACAGCTTCTTGCTTCTTCACCACACGAACTCTCTCCGCACATCGTTTTCCCGGTCTCTTACCTAATCTCACTTCTTGAGCTATATAGTTCGTGCCGTTCGCATGACACCTCAGTATTATTCTACGTGACTTACTGAGGTGTGTAGACACTCTTGTTTCCTCACTCAATCCTTACTAATGTACCCTAGCATCTCCGCTAGGTAGATACATGTCAATCTAGTATTGTTCTACGTGACTTACTGAGCATCTCCGCTAGCGCGTATATAGATCTCTTGGCCCCTGCCGTGCATAATGCCTGGAGACATGCTCAGTCGCGGTGTCACGGTCCTCTCGGAGAACGTGTTCCCTGATTTGTATGAATCCGGAATTCTCGACCTTCAGAAGGGTCTTGAGCTGAGGCACTTTATGAGCGTTGATCTCGTTAAGGTGAGTTACTATCAATCAAAGTTGGTTTATCTCATGATGCCTCGCGCAAATACAGGCTTATATTGCAAGGATTGATGAGGTCAATCTGAAGGGCGCAGCTCTCCATGCAGTCCTTGAGACGAACCCGAATGCTTTATCTCAGGCTGCAAAACTTGACGACGAGCGCAAGTCTAAAGGGAGCAGAGGCCCACTGCACGGCATCCCTTTGCTACTGAAAGACAACATTGCTACACTACACGAAGAAGGTACGTAACTGTAACGACGCATGTTCAGGATGCTGATCCTTCTGAAGGCATGAACACTACCGCCGGTACGATATTTAAGAACTTCTAGTTCTGGGTTAAATGTTTGGCGAGATTAGGCTCCTATGCTCTCCTGGGTTCCGTCGTTCCCAGGGACGCATTCGTCGCTGCTAAGCTCCGCGAAGCCGGCGCCATCCTTCTTGGGAAGGCGAACCTCTCTGAATGGGCAAACTATCGCGGAAAGGTTCCAAACGGCTTTTCAGGTCGTGGAGGTCAGACTCTTTGTCCCTATTACCCGAACGGGGATGCATCTGGATCGAGTTCTGGGAGTGGGGTTGCGATGGCCGTCGGTCTTGCTGCTGGCTCTCTAGGCTCAGAAACGGATGGTTCCATTGTTTCACCGAGCAGTAAGAACAATGTGGTAGGCATTAAGCCCACTGTAGGGTTGGTTTCTCGAGCTGGAGGTATCTACTTTTATCAATCTCACCTTGACAGTTGGTTGAGTCTCTTTAGTTATACCTATCTCATCGCATCAAGATACAGCTGGACCTATATGTAGGTCAGTTACAGATGCGGCCCTTCTGCTCTCCGTTATAGCAGGACCAGATCCTCGAGACACGGCCACGTTGCACCAACCTGGTGTTCTCCCTGATTACATGAAAGCGCTCGATCCGAACGCTTTGAAAGGCAAGCGACTAGGAGTGCCGCGGAAATTCCTGCCCGGCAATAAAGCAATTCTGGAAGCTTTCAACGCTTCTTTAGACACCTTCCGGGCTCTCGGCGCGGAGATCGTAGATCCGGCTGATTTCCCCTGTGCCGAGGAGATGAAGGAGTCACAGGCAGAAACACTCGTGCTGAAGACAGACTTCAAGGCTGATGTGACCGAGTATATTTCGGGGTTACTTAAGGTTCCTACTGGCGTAAAGAACCTCGCAGATTTGATCGAATTCAACAAGACCCACGCAGACTTAGAGCTTATACCACCATACCACGACGATCAATCTAGGTGGGTTCACGAGCTGGTAGTGCTATGGGGTTGCTTACTCTGCTACAAGTTTTATTGCTGCTGAAGCGACGGAAAAGAATGATGCGTATTATGCAGCTTTAGCTCAAGATTTCGATTTAGGCCGGAGACGAGGCATTGATGCAACTCTCCAAAAATTCAAATTGGACGCAATCATTCTTCCTACTGATGGTACGTACGATTATATGCTTGCGTCAATTTCGGGACCTCAAACTTCCTTAGGGACTGCCTCGAAACCTGCAGCGATTTCCGGATACCCTATAATCTCAGGTGCGAATGCCCATTTTCATGATGGTTCATTTGACCAAATCAAATGCTTAGTTCCGCTGGGCTTCCAGCCAGATAATGTTGAGGTATTGCCAGTTCCCGCTGCACCACTGCACACACAAGCTCCAGGCCTTCCGTTTGGGATAGCCTTCATAGGCACCGCATACAGCGAATTCAATCTTATTGGTTTCGCTTATGCGTTTGAACAGGCTACGCAGGTCCGTTTGAAGAGAAGGGCCTATGCTGAAGCAATTCCCACGACGCAGATTAAGGATGTGCTTTCTATGGTGCAGTTCACTTAGAGGCCGCTACTTTTGTCCAAGCGCCAAATCGAGTCATGAATATTGAACCGCACCATATTTGAACAAGGAATGTATGACTGGCGCGTACAACAATCGTGTACTTTTTTTTCTAACCATACTTGGATTCATCGTGATACTGTTCTAGGTCTTGTATATAGTTGAATGAGCACGAAGCATCACATCAGTGGTAGGCCGTGGAATGGACTTCAAATTGAAATTAAGCGTAAACATCATGGATCACAGGATTCACCAAGCCCGCGTCAACCCGAGGAGACGCCTGAAATTAGCCATCCGAGTCCCATGCCATGCCACCTGGATCTGTATTAATATTGCACATGGGGAAATGTCGTGACGGGGCCCGTAAAGACTTCGCCGAGACTTGCAGATGCGATTCACGATCGAGGAGTCATCGACATCTTTATGTTTGGCTTCCAGATCACCATATGTTGAATAATCGCCGGGGATCAGAGGCGTCCCCTGAGCTCGATCAATACTGTGGCAGTGAGTTGTCATGGATCACGCACCTCGTTCGGCGGTTCGTGCAAACCATTCCTCGAGTCGATCGCAGCTGAAATTGAGGCGAGCTTCAAGTTGACGGCGTTGCATCCTTTACATATATCAGGAGCATAAAGGCGAAGAGAAAGCACAGGAAAGCACTCAATTTTGCCATTAGGATTATAACAATTAATTACGATTAGCGATTCAACTAGCCTACATAACGAGTTATGGCTTGAAGCGATAGCAACCGGCTCGAAGGCTACACTTAGAATGCTATAATAACCAGAGTCTGAGCGGCGGTCTGTGTATCTCATCCCCAAATGGTTGCACAGCTGTAGTTGGCTACGCAGCGCACCAGAAAAGCTGCCTGATCTTCACATGGGTGAGAACGAAAGTTTAGCAGTCGCTATCACACACTGTCAAAAAGGCGCTCATGATCAGTGTCGGATACCATTATGATAGCTGTTGTCTGGGCTGGATCCTCATGTCAGTCCTCATACAGAAAGAATGGACGTCTTATTGAGGTCGGACTACAGGAGATTACGTGTCACCTAACGTATGCCATAACCCTTTCCTAGTATTTTTCCGTCAATAGAATATTGGGGACTGAGTAAGTCAAATATGGGGACTGGTGGCAACCAGCTGGCATTGTAAATAACTGTTTGAAGGATTGTGGATAGGTTTTTCAAAAAACATAAGGATCCAGGACATAAAAGCAAGCGGTCAGGCCGTCATCCTACCTTCCACGTTGCTTTTATTTCCATAATCCTAAGCCACAACTCACAAATAATGCGTTTCTCCATAATGATTGTCCTCGCCGTTCAATTTGTTGCTCCGTCAGCATCGAAGTCTCTCGGTGCTGAAGGTGACTGTGCTATCCCTTCCGGCTCAACTGCATATTAAGTACTGTGAAGGCAATGTAAGCGAGGAGGTATACGACAACCAATATGAAAGTGGCATAAGCATTACTCACTGGCGTGGTAGTCTATGTTTATGTGCGTGGTTCAGTGAGCTACAGGATTGCAGTTGTAAGCGGTTCCTAGAACCCAAATAACAGATATTTCAGTGAGATTGGTTTGTACACTATATATACTTTCGCGGTAAGTAAACATACGAGTTACTGATGCAGCTCTAGATCTTCTGGCAGATGGTCTGGCAAGTGTGGCCCCAGCCGCTAGTTGTGAAATAAGAATTCGATATTAGCAGAAACACCTTTGACAATAACAAAGGTTTCAGCCATAAACATCATGCTGTCCTGTACATATATAGTTCAGCGTCAGCCTATATCACGAGTAATTGTAAGAGTTCGTAGTCAAATGAACTCACGGCGGTTGCAGTCATTATATTCAAGTTGAACCAATGACTTGAAAGAAGTCGATCAATCACTCCGTACTCCGAAATGCAATTAGATAGACTGGAATAGCAGCAGGTATGGTATGCAGCAGTCCCTGAATATGAATCACTAGCGATTGCACGAGACCGGTAAAACAGTAGGGGTTTAGTCTGATAGCATGATTCCGTGTGTTCGGATGGAAGCGTCATAAGGAGCACCCGCACTTTAAGGTTTGATAAGTTTACGTATTTCTACAATATCCATTACAAAGCTAATTTTAACTTTTGATTCTTTACGCTACGGAAACAGGTACAGCTCAGAAGGCTGCTGATCGCATTGCGAGGGAATGTCGAAGAGTCCATTTTCACTGTCGTGTGAAGAGCATGGATGCGTTATTTCGGAGAGCCAAAGTTTTACTGAATCACGGATCCATCGCCGCAACTTCTTCTACGAATTTGGCCCACCGTCTTTCCCATGCATCCATAGCGGCGCGCTTGCTCTGTTCATCTAGCATGGAATACTGCCCAGGGAACATAAGACAATGCAAGAGACAAGGCCGAGGGTATGACTCACCGTAATACTGTCACGAGCCATGTGGCCAAGAGCAAGGAGTCCCGTAACTTCACTTGCCACCAGTACCTGTAAGCGACTGATGAGTCTGGTTGCCGCAGGAGACAAACAAGGAAGAGGGTCACCTGGAAGAAATCGAAGGACAGCCCCATGCTATTAAACATCGCAGGATCGTCGGAAGACAGTACCACAGGAATGCCTTGGTTCATGATTACCGGGAGGGGGTGCATAGGCATCGATGAGGTAAGACGCTATCATTTCTTGAGTCAAGGCAAGGCTCCGAGGCAGCATACGAAAAACCTACCAATACTTCATTTCTATCGAAAGATCAAAATCAATTGAAGGTGTCTACTTGCACGATTCACTCACGATATAGGGCAGACTTCGATTGCTATTTTCTTCTCTCGACAGATTTGCATCAATTTTGGATGCTTAGCTAGTGAAAAGCTATGCAATATGGGTTAGCGAGCGCTCTACATCGTACAATGCACCTAACCCGTGTCCGATTCGCTTCGTTCCGAGAAGAATGGCATCATACAGGTTCATGTCCGCTGCAGTGCCATCACCCAGAGTTTCACCAGCATGGAAGATGAATGGGATGTCCGGATGCTGCTCGGCGAAACGCAAAAGTGGCTCTGCGTAATCAATGAGTGGTTTACACTCCGCCCCGTCCTCGTGGCCCACGAGATCAAATCCTGGCAGATAGAACTGTTAGATCTGGGTCTGCCGACTTACAACGAACCCGCGGGACTTACCAGCAATAAGGTCCGGGAATTCCTGCTTGAATTTGCTGCACTGTTCTAGTTCCAATTCCAACTCCTCGGACGAGATAATTCTCAGGGTATTGTAGATAATCTAGGAAAAAGATCAGTCTGAGCTTGAGTAGGTTCGCCGAGACCAAGCTAACCTTCAACCCAGCGAAATCGTCTTCCCGACCTTTCGCCTTCAATTCCGCTTTTATTTCGTTCGTGACCTCTTGGAATATCAGGAGTAGTTCGCGTAATTCAAGTTTAGTCTTCGCATCCTCTGCAAGTATATACCTGACGTTTCATCAGGTATCTCAATCGTAGACACGCCTTTCTGACTCACTTTTTGAAAAAACTAGTTCGTACCTCAATATACGAGATGCCATCACTTATTGATGAGCGAATGAACATCCGCAAGTATTCCTTTTGAATCGGCACGAAACGGATAATGGGCTAAGTTTCATCAGAACAGGCACACATCTCGAGTTCCAGTACACAGGCTCACATCAGTCACGCCAAAGGTACTCCCAAACTTCATCCAGATCTGCAAGTCTCGCATTGAGGCCGTGTTCAGCAGGTTGTATGTTAATATGGAGCTCACTTTCATCGGTGTATTGTACGTATCGTACGCATCACTGGGATTGATCATAAAGGCGCTGAGCACCCATTTATCAAATCCGGCAGGGCCGCCTAGTGCAGGATCGAACAGCTCTCGCGCCTTCTTGATGGGAACCCAGCCACCGGTGTATAAAACATCCGTGATACCAACTACATCGGTAGTAGGATACTGTTCCACAGGGATTGGTTGGATTATGGGCAGCACAGTTTCGAGAGAAGCTGCGTCCAACGGACCCAGGACGCGGATATGTATCGCGGGATGACTCAGTGCCAGATCAAGAAGTGTTTTTGCCTCCACCGAGGCGTTCTGGTGCACATGCAATAGCCCACCCTTTGGCATCTATGGGGAAATTGCGATCGAGATGATCGGTGACGAGCAACACAGTAATTTGCTACGCTTACTTTGGAGACTATTTCATAGAGTTCCGTCTGTAAAATGAGGTCTTTGCCTGTACACAGATGTGAGAAGAAGTGCTAAGCGCGAGCCAAGCACCATACCATTCAAGAATTCCATCCCTGGGTAGGGGTGAGGGACGTGTTCGTGATCAATCCCCCAAACAGTGGTAGCTTCTTTAGCACGGATGGAGCGCACAACTTTATCTGCCTTCAGTTCAGCTGCGGTGTAATTCGAGCGAACATGATCTGTTCGCAACGCGCGGTCTTCTGTGATAAGTTTCTCACGTCTTTGTAGATAATCAGCAAGCATTGAGGAGGACATTGGCGAAGAAAAGGATGGTGGTAGTTTACAGGAATTCGATGGCTTTATAAATGATTTCGCTTGTGGCCCTTGGTGGTGTTGGCCTGGATCAACATCCATTGGCGTATTGTCGATGTCAAGGCGCCTACACAAAAAAAACAATGGCGGGCCATGAAGGACCCACAGAAGAATAGTGTAATAAACCAATTAGAATTGTGGCTCAAGTGTGCATTGGCCATCTGTCTTAGCACCGCCTTAGTTAATAGTATACGACCTGGTAGCCGGACTGTTCAAATAAGGTTGGAATGTACAGAGGAACCTCAACTTACATGGCCACCATGAGTCACGGTGGTCCAGGACCTGCCAGTGTGCAATAAGATACAGCGAGGAAAGTGTCCCACAGGCCATGATACATCGGGCACAGCATGCCAGCGATGATACACAGGATCAACGCGTCTAAAAAAAAAGCAAATTTCAGGGTTGAATATGGGAAAGCGGACTTTCCAGGTAGCCCAACAATGGCAGTGTCTGCGGTGGAGGTCGCGGAGGATCATCGAGTCTTCCAAAAAGAAAACAAACAACTGCTATCATTGGGTAGACTCATAGTCAACCATTTGTGTACGTGCATTGTTGGAGATGTTGTGATCACTGTAGTAGGTAGAAATCAGGGGGAACACGGAGTTTGAAAACCTGCAGTTGCCGATTGCGAAGTCGATGTTATTGTTTAAACTTGAACGACTCGGACACTAATCATTTGTTCGTACCGTATACTTGCATGCAGTCATAGAGACCAATCCGAAGGCCCCTACACAAGCTGCGACCCTTGATGATGAAAGGAAAGAAAAAGCCAAGCTCTAGGCCACAACATGACTACGTTGTACGAAGTTGAAGGTGAGGTCACACTCCGCGTTGCACACATGCACATGCACATATGCAACACCAATAGATTGATCCTGATAAGGAATGTTAATGAGTACTGAGTACTACTGCAGGTACATCCCGCCCTACTGGCTACATCCCAAAATCTTTGTGGCTCCGTTCTTGGTTCCTACGCATCGCTGAGTCCTGTGTTGTTTCTCGAGACGCATTTGCCACAGTAGCAAAATTACGTATGGGCTAGTGCGAGGCCTATTCCACTTCCTCGTGGATTCTCAGGGCGTGAGGGACTTGTTGTCCGTACTATCCGAACGCTGATCCGTTTGCTTCGAGTTCCGAAAGTGGTGTTGCGATGGTTGTCGGGAGAACAATGTTATATGAAGGGATGGTTGACAGAATGACGCAGAGGGGAACTATCACCCGTGCAAGTGATAAGAAAGTGTTTAAAGTCGGAATGCCTCGCTCAATTGGAGAGTTGTGAGGACAGCCGCCTCAAGTCGTGCGTCAAGAGTGCGCTTGATATCATTTTTACCTCCTAGCGTGCGAGACCCATCAAGCAAGGACAACAATGAACCCGTTTCGTGGAAGATGTCGACAATTGAAGCTATACCACTCGTGCGAATCGTACTGGACCACTTGTTGGCATCTTCTACAGGAGAGGCTGTTGGAAGAACAGTACGTAAACTGTTCGAGTCTGAGGCTCATCTTCGTCGTCCTCATCTTCGTGGCCCTCATCAAGGACTTGTTCGTCGGGTGCGTAAAAGACGCAGGAAGCACCTCGTGATAATTGCACAAGCAGCTAACGTCTGGAACATGTTCATCCAACGGGGAAAGGGGCCTACTGCTGTACTGATGATTCTGGTCTGTAACATTGCTGGTGTGCTACTGCCTGAGGCACTGGCATGGTGCGAGGAAATACCAGCATCACGAAATGGATGTCCAAAGGTTAAGAAAACCTACATAATTGCTTTGTGTTGCGAAGACGTCTACAAGGGGAATCTTGTGTGGGCGAGAAGGATGGCCGTAGGGAGCAGGTGAGTGAGAAAATAGACGAGCTACCACATTCTTGATTCTGGAGCCTTTGGCGTGGCGCGAGTAGCAGCCGTCTTCTTACCACACGTAAGTAGTTTGCCGCGGAGAATTGGCGTAAATGTTTGCTTCTGAACAAATTTTACTGCTGCAATGATGATTTTAGGATAGAGAGATATCTCAAAACCTTGAACATGACTTGAGAGAGTGAGTCTATTATTAGACTCACAGTAAGCTCGAACATCAGTATTGTATGACAGTGTATTGTGAAAGCCACGTTCACAGCTGGGACATAACGTCCGTTAATTGGGTTCTAGGAATCGCATCTTCATAGGCCTTTCTCTGAAGTCTCACGTGGGTAGCCTGCTCAAACGCATACGCATAGCCGATGAGCTTGAACTCGCTATACGCGGTTCCCATAAAAACAATTCCAAAAGGAAGTCCTGGTGCTTGCGTATAAAGTGACGATGGCGTCACAGGCAGTAACTCGACGTCATCTGGCTGGAATCCGAGGGGCACTAAATATCAGATGAATTTGAGTAGGGTTGAGATCGCAGTGAGAAGTACCAACCTGAAATTAACGGATACCCTGCGATTGCCGTGGGTCCCGATGCATTTTCGGTTGGTAGAATTATAGCATCGAGATTGAACTGGGCCAGAGTGGCGTCAATTCCTCTCGTGCGTCCCAAGTCGAAATCTTCGGCTAGCGCTGAAAAGTAGGCGTCATCAACTTGAGAGGCTTCCGATTGCTTGAATCTAGATATCCTGGCTAAAAGCATATCGCGTATGAGACTAGAGCCGACATACTGCGATTGGTCATTGTAGAATGGCGGTGGAAGATCTAGGTCCGCACGTTTCTCGCTGAATTCTATCAATGCAGCGAGAGTCTTGACGCCTGTCGGAATGTCGACAAGTTCTGATAGGTATTTGTTAAGATCAACTTTGAAGTCCACGTCCAGTACCCGCTTCTCCGCCTTCGATGTCAGCAGTTCTTCTGTATCCGGGAAATCCGCAGGATCAACGATTTCCGCGCCCAAAGCTCGGAAGACGTCAAGAGCTGAGTTGAAGGTCTCCTCGATGACCTTGGTATTACGGATGAAGGAACGAGGCACTCCAAGACGAGTGCCTTTAAGGGCGTTCTTGTCGAGCGCTTTCATGTAGTCTGGAACTAGTCCGGGCTGATGTAAAGTAACTTCATCTCGAGGATCAGGCCCAGCCATGAAATTCAACAATAGGGCGGCGTCAGTGACAGAACGACACATCGGGCCAAGAGTATCTTGATGAGATGAGATAGGTATTACTGGCGTTCATAATCAGTCAGGGAATCAGGAAGGCCACTACTAAAAACTTTACCGCCTGAGCGAGATACCAGCCCGACGGTGGGCTTGATGCCCACAACATTGTTCCTGCTACTTGGAGAGACAATAGAGCCATGAGTTTCTGAGCCAAGCGAACCAGCTGCGAGACCAATGGCCGTCGCAACGCCACTTCCGGAGCTCGAAGAAGACGGACGTGCATTCGGGTAGTAGGGGGAAGATGTTTGTCCCCCACGCTCCGACAAGCCATTGGGAACCTGTCCCTTTAAACGTCCCCACTCGCCCCTCATACCGGACCACTCAGAGAGGTTTGATTTTCCTATAAATATAGCCCCAGCTTCACGTAATTGTGCAGCAGCAAATGCATCTCGAGGAACGACAGAACCCAGCAGTGCGTAGGAACCTAGGATACCCCCAAAAGCTGTGATCTACAAAATGGCAGGCAGAAGCACAGAATGTACCTGCAGTCGTGTTCATTCCTTATCAGGATATCGATTTATTAGTACTGCATGTAGATATATAACATAAAATCTCACCTTCTTCGTGCAGCGTAGCAATATTATCTTTCAACATTAATGGTATTCCATGCAATGGCCCGCGGCTGCCTTTGTCTTTCCGTTCATCGTCAAGGGCCGCAGCTTGTGATAAGGCTATTGGATTAGTCTCGATGACCGCATGTAATGCAGGACCCTTCAAGTTGACTTCCTCGATTCTGTTCAAGTAGGCCTGCGATTGATTAGACGCTGCATCGGATACTTACTGGAACAGTGAGAGTCTACCTTGACAAGTTGAACACTAGTGAAGTGTCCTTTGACTAGACCATCTTGAAGTTCCACGATTGAAGCCTCGTAAAGATCAGGCAAAGCCGCGACATAGGACGCCTTGAAAGTCATCAGATTCGAGTGGAGGAAAGATAAGAGCCAGACCTACTAGGTTCGCTGTTCTGGGAAAATGGTCAAAGATAACTTAACGGACACCCGACAGTTATGATAATCCAAATATGAATCCTGGGTAAAGGATCCAATGACTGTCTTTTCGGTTGTCACGGGACCTTGAGTTGAGAGGATCGTGAGAACATTTCATGATGAAGCTGCGGCATCGGAGTCTCCACAGACTGGCAGCACACTAGTGTTGTGGATTCTAGAGCCTGGATATAGAGCCTGGACACAGGCTAACTCGTTGGTGGTCCATTCAAAATTATGACGCTTATCCTGGCGCACTAGCACTTCGATGCCATTCTCGGAAGACTCTCGGAAGCTGGCTGCGGTGATGACACAGTGCCTTCAGGTGTGAGATGAACCACAGAAATTGGAGGTCATTCTGCTCTTGGGACCTGGCTAGGGGGACATCTAGCTGGTTTCCTGGATAATACAAGACAAATCTCATGTCTCCCACCTCTCACCCAGCTAGACCTTTGTCTACAAGCGACCCACATGTTTTTCTTCACTGTCTACGCAAGCTCCTTCCCTTCTCTTCTGGTACGGATGCGGTCCGCACCGATTCATATTCAACTTACGTTTTTCTAGTCTTGGTCCAGGCACCACCACCACCCAATCCTCTGCCATCAATACTTTTGCAACCCTCAAATTCAGCTCACATCGCCTATCAACTTGGTAGCCCTTTCAGACCAATCATACATTGACTATCGTTCAGGTCCTCTCGGGCCAGGTAAACAGGTATGGGTGATGTATCGCGGGATGACTCAGTGCCAGATCAAGAAGTGTTTTTGCCTCCACCGAGGCGTTCTGGTGCACATGCAATAGCTCACCCTTTGGCATCTACGGGGAAATTGCGATCGAG